TGAGACCATTATGGGTAGAATGTTGGCTAATATGTAAAGACAGCAGTGCTTGGGAGCAGCAGCAGTCTGCTCATTGAGCTGCAAAGACTTTTTCCGTTGCCATGGAAGCCTAGCCTCTTTTCAAACAATGTCTTCTTCTCCAACTGATACCCAATCACTCAACTACTGTCCTCCGCACTGGACTCACTCTTTATTAGGCCTTTGCTCCACGGGGCCCTGTACACAGAGCACCCTGTTACCCTCGACGCGGACTATCACAGCAAACACACACTTTCTTCACACTCAGCACAAAGAAGCACAGCTGCGTGTCAGACACTGCCTCCAACTAGTCACACACCAGAGGAAAAGCACATGATTTTTATGTACTGTTTCCATCTGCAAAAGTTTCCATAAACTGAACAAGCCCACAGCAAACTTACAATGTCCAAAAGGCCAATTCAATCTGAGACAGTCAAAATCATTTACATCCATTCAAACAATCTAAAATGACCCTGTGTTGTCACTACTGTTTAGATGTGGTTCTATCAGTGAAGCATTTGATTTGGCTCTTCTCTTCACTTACAGCTGCAGAGAAGTCACATCACAGACACCACCCTCAAGGGAAAAATACAACAACAAAGTGATAACCGCTGATAACGGCAGCTGTGAGGAGCAAACGGGAAAAAGCCAATGTAACCCACCACTGCTTTAAGGAGAGCTGCATGGTAAAGTAGTGCATGCTGATCAGCCACTAATAGTAAAAACTAAATACAATCAAGGTGCTTATGCATTGTGAAAATAAGATTGACAGGACATATTTTCCCATCTTCCTTTGTTACCTGCAGTATTTAACTATAATGCGGAGAATAGAGGTGGAGTGTGGCTGCCTGCCATAATGGAGTCATATTTCCAGAGGAGTGCTAAGATAAACAGGTAGAACAGGTTTGTTTATAAATGGACCACATTGACCACGTTTGTCCTGAACTATAGGCTTTAAGTTTATATGCAATAACATTGAGTAAAACACAGTGTTTGTGCAAGTGTGTTGTGCGATAATCACATAATGAAGTGCTTGAAGCACTAACCATTAGCACTTGCCCAACGCCAAGTTCCGTCTGTGCACAGAGAGCATTAGCAGTCAGCCCAGTGCCCACAGGCCCAGGTGCCTGAGCCCACACTCATGGTCTTTATGTTGGGTGGAGAAGGGTGGAGCTCTGTGGGCCACATTCCTGTGGCCGGCAGAAGACCCACTGCAGATAGGAAATGGAAAGCACAACACTGCATGACATGGGCTGGTCCTGTCCAGCATGCACATTGACTATCAAAGTTTGAACTTGCAGACCACATTTGTCGGAAGCAACAAAAACAGGGCCAACACCTTCACAAAATATAAGATAACCAGAAATAATCAGAGAGAAGTCTGTGCTCTTGTCGAGCGCAGACAGAAAGGACAATGTTGAAACCTCACAATGTATTATTACTCGATATAATTAGTATAGTAGACAATGTTTAAATGTTGAGTAAGAGCTTAGTGGTTAACCAGGGTAGACACACAGATAAAATTATGGAACATTATCCAAGTAAAAACTTGCCCAAAAAAAACAAATAACAGAAAGACATTTGTTCACCAGGAAGACATAGTGAGGAATGCTGCTGTGCAGTATGAGCATACAGTGTTGGCCAAGGAACAAAAACAAACAGAATATTCAGGGCTGGGGTCATACTTCTTTAAGTAAAACTTGTTGTGCACAACTCTACTGTAGTGGATGGATCTGAGAGACTGCTCAGATCACTCAGGTATGACTGTTCTACTTTCAGACACAAAGAGAGGCTTTCTCCTCTCAGCACAGCTCCTGTATCAAAACACTCAGGTTACGTAGAGACCTGAATCCTGCTGTAAGGTACGAGCACAAATCACTTCCTCTTTTAGTAATCAGGGAGAAGGCTAGAGAGTGAACCAGCAGGGAAAAGCTTTCACTCATTAAACAGACTGGACTGTCAAATGACCAACCTTTGACCCTGTGGTATGACGGATATTCACAGTTGTCACATATTTCCATCTGCCTCTTGCAGACACTCATCATAATACTAAAAAATAGCACACTTGCCACTTATCCATTACATACAGTGTTTGTCCTAGTTCTGTGCACACCAAAATAAAAGTGCTTTACCAGCAAACAGGGAATGTAGAGCAAAACAAATCTGTGGAAATCACAAACTGTTGTATACCAGCTGCATAGTCAGCTTTACATCATTTGATTTTCTGCATGTTGTACTCAGGACTGTGGTGTCATTTTGTGTCATACATTTGTACAAGGCAATCCTCTGATGTCATTATTTACCTTGTGAAAAGATTTAACGTTAACCTGTTTGTGAAATACTGTCTGTCGCTACAAGACTTAGCAGCAAACTCTGCTGTATCCATTTGTGTGAATGAACTACTGTAAAGATGCTAACACACATAGCACCAGAGTAAAACATGCCCTCTGTCTGTCATTACTGCACTTTGGGCCACTGGTTGTTTGTGGCCACTCAGGTCAGCTCATGGTCCCCTCTCCCAGGACCCCCTGCCATGATGGCCGGGACACGCCAGAGATAACAGTGCATTTTGAAGCCTGGATAAATACAGTGCCTTGCGAAAGTATTCGGCCCCCTTGAACCTTTCAACCTTTCAACATTTCGCCACATTTCAGGCTTCAAACATAAAGATTTAAAATTAAAAAAAATTGACATGAATCAACAACAAGTGCGATACAATCGTGAAGTGGAACGAAATTTATTGGATAATTTAAACTTTTTTAACAAATAAAAAACTGAAAAGTGGGGCGTGCAATATTATTCGGCCCCTTTACTTTCAGTGCAGTAAACTCAGTCCAGAAGTTCAGTGAGGATCTTTGAATGATCCAATGTTGTCCTAAATGACTGATGATGATAAATAGAATGCACCTGTGTGTAATCAAGTCTCCGTATAAATGCACCTGCTCTTTGATAGTCTCAGGGTTCTGTTTAAAGCGCAGAGAACCATGAAGACAAAGGAACACACCAGGCAGATCCGAGATACTGTTGTGGAGAAGTTTAAAGCCGGATTTGGATACAAAAAGATTTCCCAAGCTTTAAACATCTCAAGGAGCACTGTGCAAGCAATTCTATTGAAATGGAAGGAGTATCAGACCACTGCAAATCTACCAAGACCCGGCCATCCCTCCAAACTTTCATCTCAAACAAAGAGAAGACTGATCAGAGATGCAGCCAAGAGGCCCATGATCGCTCTGGATGAACTGCAGATAACTACAGCTGAGGTGGGGATGGTGTGTTCAGGGTGATGAGCTGTGTTGCTTTTACGCCAAACATATCGTTTTGCATTGTGGCCAAAAAGTTCGATTTTGGTTTCATCTGACCAGAGCACCTTCTTCCACATGTTTGGTGTGTCTCCCAGGTGGCTTGTGGCAAACCTTAAGAGACTTTTATTGGATATCTTTGAGAAATGGCCACTCTTCCATAAAGGCCAGATTTGTGCAGTGCACGACTGATTGTTGTCCTATGGACAGACTCTCCCACCTCAGCTGTAGTTATCTGCAGTTCATCCAGAGCGATCATGGGCCTCTTGACTGCATCTCTGATCAGTCTTCTCTTTGTTTGAGATGAAAGTTTGGAGGGACGGCCGGGTCTTGGTAGATTTGCAGTGGTCTGATACTCCTTCCATTTCAATAGAATTGCTTGCACAGTGCTCCTTGAGATGTTTAAAGCTTGGGAAATCTTTTTGTATCCAAATCCGGCTTTAAACTTCTCCACAACAGTATCTCGGACCTGCCTGGTGTGTTCCTTTGTCTTCATGGTTCTCTGCGCTTTAAACAGAACCCTGAGACTATCAAAGAGCAAGTGCATTTATACGGAGACTTGATTACACACAGGTGCATTCTATTTATCATCATCAGTCATTTAGGACAACATTGGATCATTCAAAGATCCTCACTGAACTTCTGGAGTGAGTTTGCTGCGCTGAAAGTAAAGGGGCCGAATAATATTGCACGCCCCACTTTTCAGTTGTTTATTTGTTAAAAAAGTTTAAATTATCCAATAAATTTCGTTCCACTTCACGATTGTGTCCCACTTGTTGTTGATTCATGACAAAAAATTATATTTTCATATCTTTATGTTTGAAGCCTGAAATGTGGAAAAATGTTGAAAGGTTCAAGGGGGCCGAATACTTTTGCAAGGCACTGTATGAGCTGAGCATGGACTAGAGTGATTTGTTCCAGTCATGATTTTTTAAATTAGATCAAATTAGATCAAGTCACAGTAAAATATTAGTGTTAGAAGAACATATTGTCTTCGGCAGTTGAATAAAATATCTGACGGAATAGAGTGCGTGAGGTCAAACCTCCATATTTTGTTCAGGTAACTGGGAAAGTTTCAAAAAGCTGTGGTTTACTTTTTATATAAAGTCCTTCATGATTCACATGCAGCATTTAAAGCTGGAGTACCTAACTTTGAAGCCACAAAAATGAACTACGTAATAAAAATGTAACTAGCTCTCATAACAATTTGTTTTATCACGAGTTTTCACATGCATGTATTTTAATCACATATTTAGATCAGCTCTCAGTATGTAAAAGATCAAATGCAAGACAGCATCTTTGGGTCAGATTTGTTCAACAAATGTATGAAACAAAAAAGTGAAGTTACCTCAGCTTTAACCCTCAAATACCCACTGACTCAATTATTTCCCATCATTACAGTTTTTAATATCTTGGCCTCTCTTTCACACTTGTGCCCAAGCTCCAACAAGCCCTTATGTCAACAAAACTTCCCAAAATATCTGCAACAACAGTTCTGTCCCCCCCTGGGCCCTTCCCCCCGCCCCCTCACCGGTCTACCATCAGATTGTACAAATTCTTCAGAACCTCGTCCATCGTCCAGGAAACAACCTCTGCTGAATCACAGTGGTTCATAATGACCCCTGGCTGCCCTGCTCGAGCCAACCAACAATTACAGACATGTAAACAAGACAGGATACATACCAGGATGGGGTCTGTGGAGAACTGTATTTTCCTCTGTGGGGGTGGATCTTCTTCATCAGATAGTCCGATCTTTTCATAACAATCCTCATCATAGTCTTCCTCATACACGGGCTCTTCAACATCGGCATCTTCTTCTTCGTCCTCTTCCTTCAGGAATTGATCGACATCCCGGTCATCCACAAACGCAGCATTCTCGATACCGTAAACAGGAGGAGAAGCTCTGTCCTCCAGCTCAATCTCCTCCTCCACTCCCTCGTCTTCATCACAATTACTACTACGCTTTCCGTTTTTGTCAAAACTATGAACCTCTTCTGCAATGGGTCTTTCTGTACCACAATGTATCGAGCTGGATATCGATTTCTCTGGTGTAAAAGTTTGGTTTAAAATTTGCCGCGATGCTTTTGAACTTTCCATGTTCTCCTCGTCAAATACTTCGTCCATTTCGCCCTCTTCGTCGTTCTCTTCACTTTCGGATGACTCGTTGTCTACCACCACTAGCTCTGCTCTGACCATGCTCACACCCTTAGTCCCCAAAGCTGCATGGTCATTCGTCTTGTCGCTTTCAAAATATTTGTTTGTGTCATTGCTTTGAATTGCACCAGAGAATGTCTGAGGCGACCTGTGTTGCTTGCTTTCGTCACCACCAACAGATGTTCTGGTAAAGCCTTCACCAAATGATAGGGAATGGTTGTGCCCAGGGCTTTTGGAGCTTGGAGGCTCTGGTGAATTTGGTTTGTGACTTGTATGAGAGGAAAATGTCATCTGGATTGAGCTTTTGTTAGTGGGTGAAGAAACCTCTTTAGATACTGGGTTTCTGTTATCCCTTATTGGAGAGGTAGGCACCAAGTACTCACTTGTGCTGTGCTTAGTGGGAGATGGTACTTCTTTTTCAGCCAAATTAGTGTTCGCTTCCAAATCATTTTCTGTCATGTAATTCTCCAGTCTTTTTGATATAGGCCCTGCATTGAGAGACACTCTGGATGCGTTTATCTTGTCACTATCAGTGTCCTCGTCTAGTCTAGATTTAGTTGTAGTGGTTGGTTCAGACTTGAAAGTTTCAAATGAGCCTGACGCTCTTCTTGTGCTTTTTGACTCTTCTGAGGAACTTCCAAGAGACAAGCGACTCACAACTCTGGTGGGAGACTGCTTCTCAGACACAGGCTGATCTTTGAGGCCTCTTTCAAAGAGTTTTCTGGTGACTGAAAACTTTTCTGCCAGTGATACTGTATCCATCTCAACATCTTCTCCTTTTGGCGATTTATCTGCGTTCAATGATTCAGGGCTTGTAGCGTTGTTGCGGTTTAGTTTATGTGCATTGGCTGGAAAAGGCAGCTTTAGTGGGGTCACCTCTGATTTCAATGGGGCTTTAGCCTCTTGAGTCTCCTGCTGTTGGCCGTCCATCTGCAGAAATATGTTTTTTATCTTGTTCACCCTGGTCCCAAAAGGCCTTCCCCTGGAGTCCTCCCGGGTGTCATTGGTGCCATTTGCATATGATTTAGAAGTGGCCTCAGATTTGGGTCCATCAAAGGAGCATTTAATGGAGTGGAAGTCTGACTTGTAAGCGTTTCTGTGGGGAGACGCGCTCCTCAGAGATCTTTCGCTTGCTTTGCTTTCAGCTTTTATCATTTTGCCCCGGAGAGAAAAGGCTGGAAGTGAACGAGCTGCTGGTTGGCTGCCGATGGACTTTATCCTTTAGCTACTTTATGCAAACGGAGCCGTGTGTCCAGTGGAGCTTCTTCGGAGCAATGTGGGGTGGTAAAACACAGATGGAGACGCCATCTGAGGATAAAAACACATACAGTATTAAGGTAAAACAGGTCAAGACTCATCTGTTTTCTGAGTATCTTGACTAACCAGGGTTTTATTAGCTAATCAGATAAAGTTCGCTAGCATGGTTGAGACATGCCTAACAAAAAGTAACTTCTCGGTCCGTTTGGCACATAACTTTGATCACTGTACTGCAGAAGGCTGTGGCTAAGTGTTTAAAGCGAGTTCACAGCTGTTTTATCAACATATAGTCTAGTTTTGATCTTTCTCCGAACAATTCATTGTAGCACTTTGAAGCGTGAGCCGCTGAAAAGCTTTGCGCACAACAGCCATCTTTGGAAACACACAGAAGTTGTAAAAGCTCTCACCTCGCGGTTTCTTTAATCAAATCCACGGAGTCGAAACTCAGGCTGAGAGTGTCCGTTTGGCGCTATCAAACTTGTCCCTTCTTCTTGTTCACCGCCATCATTCTCTCCACTGTGTTCCTCCTCCTCCTCGCACTTCCAGACCTTCCAGACCTGTCCCGGGCTGCGCGCGCAGACCCAGGAACAGAGGGAACCGGGAGCGCGCGCACATTCCAGGACTGCACTCCCCCGTGTCTCCCCCCCCTCTCCCCTCTCTCCCCTGTCTCCCCCGTGTCTGTCTCCCCCAGAGCTGAGCCTCGGCCCGGGCAGTCTGCAGACACATGAGCTGCACAAGGAGCAGGCGTGGGAAAGCCATAGTATCACACTCCAGCTCCACTGCGCTCCTCGGCTGTGGAAACAAATCACATATTCACACTTCACTCACTCGTAAACACTTTTGAACTACTACAAGCCTATAGCCATTAACACACAGGACTAAGTATTCTTGATGCAAAGGAGCAACAGCTCTACTTAGAGCTCCTCTGAGTCACCTTATGAAAAAAAAATTATAAAAGATTCCTAGAAAACATATAAATTCAGTGATAATTGATGAAAATGATACACTCTGTATTCTATTTCAAATGAGCAATATCATAACATTTTATTTTTCTTTAATAGTCAGGGTTGTAAAGTCCTGTCATTCTTACAATCCATCCTTTCCACGACGGTTGAAGTATTTGAAAAGCTTCACTTGCCAGCCACCTAGAGAGAAGACAACTTATACAACTGATTTTTTGTCATTCAAGTCACTTTATACAAGTGAGGCCAGCTCCAGAGATCGCAGTCCCTAATGCTTCAGTCACGTGATTCCTTCTAAATAAATAATAGATATGACACTTATATGACATATATTTATAGGACAAAATTATAGAACAAACTATTTATTCTAAATTTCTTATGTATTGAATATTTGATACTAATTAATTCCATGAACAAGTATGAAAACTAGATTTGACTAAATTGGACATTATTTTGGATGTGTATGAGAACAAACTTAGTACTATGTTATCTTTCAGCTTAATGTCAAAGAGGAGCAGAATGATATATACTGTACAAGGGAAAGTACATTTTGTCCACATATAAGCCACACTTGAACATAAGCCTCATTGTTTTCATGTTGTATTGTAGCGAATTGACAACATGATTAAATGACGAGGTGCTTGACAGTTTGAGTGTCCATGACTCATTCACTGCCTATTTTGACAATAAACGAGAGCCCTGTAGCTACTAAAACTTGATGAGGTCAAAATAACCTAAAATTGCCTCTAACATGTTTGCACACTTCTGTCTTTTGCACAAATCTGAGTGATTCTATCAATGCCAAACGTGACATGTAAATTTCTCCTGTGTGAGATCAATAAAGTATATCTTATCTTATAATAATAAGTCCATAAACTCTGCTCTGAAAACTCTACCACAATAGAAAATACATATATTAGCCGTAAATGTAGCAACATTGCTGAAATTACGATAATCACTGTGGTAAAGAAGCAAGTTCAAGTGTTGAGCCTGTTCCTTATTATGAAAATCCATTTTTACATTTTAGAACGTTGACAAGAGCATTGATGAGAAATGTATACTTCTGCCGTTTTGGAGAGTGAACGTGCTCTACAAGTCTGTGTCAAGCACCATCAAAACTAAATCAGATGCTGTGATAGCAACAGCCTTATATTAATGTTGGTTTGTCTTAAATAGTTTATTAACTGTTATATAATGGTAATAATGATTAATAAATGAACCTCATTGTTAGCAGATGGTGAACTATTTAAACATGTGAGCAATTTCCTTTTAGTATCCAACACTTAAATCGACTCTATTGAGTATGAAGTGATATTTCATTGTACTTTAGTTGAAATATGTCGGGAAAGCCTCCAGGTTTTTAGGCATTTCCTCTGGAGCGATCATTCCTGTGCATAACAAATGGAATATCCGATGTGAGGACTAAAGATATTAAAGATTTATGAGGTCTTGAATATTAATCCAGTTGGTCATTTCCATAATGTCAGAATTGATATTACGTCATTTCATATTTTAATACGGTCTTCGGTATTGAGGTATTACATGCTTTTTTTACATCAACAAAAACATGTTCGATTGATGTGTTTAGCTTCTCATGCTGGCCTCCAGGATCCACTCTTGACAACTGTGTGACAAAACTTACACTAAATACACACATAATACACTGTACAGTAGACAGAGTCAGGGGGCTGTGCTCGGGGGCATCAGGGCATCAGGGCACACTTCCTTTTAGCATTTAAAAGAGATACATTTTAGTGTTCATTAACGACCTACTCTGGAATAGTAAAATCAAACAATAAAATAGTGCGGTCAAGTTAAGGATTAAGAAGGTAGGATAAGAGGCAGACGAGGAGTATAGATATTACAGTCTATAGACACACGACTATAGTGGGAGTATTAATCCCTGTCGCAGGTGTAGCACTAAGGTGTTAACTGTGTAAAGCAGTAGTAAAGTGGAGGCTGTTGTTTTCTGTTGCTTTGTTGCCTTTGTGAGCGGGTGGTATGCAGCTTTGCAGGAATTTGTGCTTTGTATTGTGCATGCCACGGCCTGAACTCTGTATTGCATCACTTTGGAGAAAGACATGGATAAGGAACAGATACACCATTACAGCTGTCAATCCCAGAGTAGGCCGATTATCTGATCATGATTAATTAATGTGTAAAAGTTTTGAGTATAGGAAAACTTATAAGATGCACACATTTTGATGTGCCAATGCCACAAAAATATGTTTTAGGTGGTTGTTCACGCGCATCTTTTGTGAAATTAACGGTATAAAACACTTTAATTTTGCTGCCATCTTGTGGTTGAATACAGCTTTAGTCTTCTGTAACATTGCTATCTCGGGTTTTGTAGATTGCGATCATTAACCTCTTAATTGAAACCGAGAAACACCAATGATGTAACAGTTTCTACCTCTCCGACTCATGTGAGAAAATAGTTCTAACTAAGTTTACAGTTTTGAACAAGGATCTAAATTAATTTATTATCATCATCATCATCATCATTATTATTTATAAATTATTATTATTATACTGTTTTAGATCATTGTTGTTGCTGTGCCGGATGACTATAGCAATATTGTAAGAGACTGATAAGATGAGCAAGTACAAAGATCTTGCCCGTACAGTCAAAATAGAATCTGAACCTAAGAGAGCTTCTGAGATCACACTCATGGGGACTGCACGCACCCTAACAACAGTCATGGGTTCAACCCCATACCCTAAAGCTAGAAGAAAGAAGATAATAATGATGATGATGATGATGCACCATACGTATATATCGCTTTTAGGGACACTCCAAGACACCTCACATGGTATTATTCAATCTCTCCATGCACAAAGGTGGGATCTACTACTGCAGACTTAGCTGCCCTGGGGCAGACCGACTGAAGCAAAGCTATATTCTGTGAGTAAGAACAGATGAGTAATGTCTTAATTTATATAATGCATATTTGGGAACTAAATACAATTGCAATGTATTCCTTATTTCTGTTTGTCTCATAAAATTGAAAACATATTATTCTTATTAACATCTCTTCAGCTATACCAGGTTTTTGATATTAGTATGTAACATTACAACAAAATTTATTGTTTTAAAAAACATGTTTACATAATCAACATGGTGTCTAAATTACGAGTATTGAACATATTCAATAGTATTGTATTCCAATGTGAAATTTCAGTACTGTTTCAACACTATTGATAACAAAAGCTAATCTTAAAATAGACCTATTAAAATGACAAAGGGTATATAAAGGCAGTATTGAAGATAGCCTGTCTGTATCTACCCTCTCGAGCACATGCAGTTTGTTTCCAAGGAAACAGAGGCTAATGATTCTCCTCTTACACAGCATTTTCAGGGCCATGACAGAAACCCTGCACACCACACCATCACGGTGTTCTGAAGGCAAAGATAAAAACGTTCCCTTTTTTAACTCCATCAGGAACGTCTTCTGCAGCACAGGATAGAGTATACAGTCATTTGGAATGTCTTAAATGATCCTTGGGGTTGTGGAACAAAAAAGTCAAGTGGAAGAATTGATTAAAAAAAAACTCATACTGAGCCAGAAGATCCAAAAGTCTTTCCATCAAGACACTGGAAGATCCTCGACTCAAATGAATGCCGTCACTGATGCAGACTGCTGCCCAATAACCATCAGAGCCTCTAAGACTGAAAGGATACTCCAATTGCTTCCAGAGAAAGGGGTGACATACAGTAATGATGGGGTGCAAGGGGCAAAGCGGCCGCAGGTTCCAGATCTTAGAGAACGCCCTTGGCCTCGTCTGTGTGATCTCACCTGGTTTTCAACAGGAACACAATGACCACAGGACAATCTTCCAGGAGAATAACATCACTCTTTTGGACCATCCACTGATCTAAATCCAATTGAGAACCTTTGGATATGAACCTTTACTTTTTTGTGGTTGTAACATTTTGCACTACACGTAACATTGCTTTTAGAGCTGAGATGGAGAACTGATATTCCAAATCCCAGACAGCCAACAGATTGTGTTGGTGACACAGTGATCTGAACTTGATAGGACTTGGCTATCTGGCCTTGGCCTGGTTCTGGAGGATGTCCTTGATCTAAATGATTTTTCTCAGCCAAAATACATGGTTGCTACAAGGCGACAGCCCCCTCCCTCACCGACAGTGGATTATTACATCAGTTGACATGCAAGTTGTACAGATGTTCATATGTAATTTTTGATTATTTCTGTCCTGAAGCTGAGTCCATGTATGTGTGTGTGTATTAGTTATTTCCCAAATAAAAAACTTTCATATTTGAAGAAAAAGAAACCCAAATACCTAGTGCCACACTTACAAACTTTGTCTCCCATTCATTATAGACCAAACCTTACATCGTGCGTGCAATACTGAAATCGCATAAGATTGTATCGTGATTACCTCATCATGATCGTATATATATAGACGTAGGCGAGAGCTCTGCGTCTTCTCAGAACCACGAGTCCACCTGCTTTGGCCGAAAAACCCACGCCTTCACCCCCACGCCACACCTCCACTGTAAAACTGTTGCCATGTTGCAGAGAGCTGCGATGGCACGTCTCGTCTCTCAGTAAATCGCCAAATCTTAAGTGCGCTCCTCTGATTGGAGGAGAGCGCGCACGTTAGAAGCAGCAGTGTTGAGTCCAGGTGACGGAGGCAAAGTAGTGCCAAAGCGGTCCTGACAACTGCAGCAGGAACATGGTCGCAGCGCATCCCTCCTCGCGATTGTCTGATTCTGCAGACTGGATTATTTGTCTGGATAAAAGGTAAAAGTGCACGGGTTCCATGTGAATAGTATAGTCTTTGTTGTTTAGGTGTTCGTGCCTGTATGGGGCTGGCAGGTGTATGAGTAATGTGCCAGAACGAAACGAAAATAGCATTGAAATTGATTAATTGGAACAATGTTGATGAACCAATCAAACCTATACGCAATAAGAAGTGTTTACAGATGGGGACTGAAGCACGCGCTGAACATCATCAACAATTGTTATCCCAAAAGCTACAAATTACACAACTATACATTTTTGCTTTTCTTTTTTGGATTATAGATTATAGATTCAAGTTTTAATAATATAATCAATGTAAATGACAGGATATCTATAGATTGTGTCTACCAGATGTACATGCGATGTGATTTGGTCATCATATTTTCAGTTGCTGCAGTAAATGAATCTGCCTCTAGTTTAGATATTTTGATATCATTTGCATACGCACTAATGTGACTTAAAGTGTTTGCTATGTTCTGGTCTTTTAAGGATGGGAGTGATGCACGGACAGGTCTAAAGTGCAGGGGCCATTAACAGCAGTGACGCAGTGTGCCAAATGTGTTTACCTAGAGACATCCCTGCTCTGCTGCTACAAGCCACATGTGTATTAGTCCAAGTGTGTGCTCTAGAACCACTCGCCTTTTAGAGTCCAAGCTTGTAATTTACTTTTATATAGATGCAAGTGACAAGTTTGACATCTCCTTTTCCCATTCTCATCTCTCGTAGATTGAATACTGTTATTTTTAATCAATACAAAGATTGTTAGTGTGGCCAGAAGTCCCAATTAGAATCAAGTTACTTTGTCCTTGACTTCCAGGACTCCCTTGAAAAAGAGGTTCTTAATCTCAATGGAACTTATAAAGGTCAAATAATCGTAATAAAACACTTTATGTTAAACAAAAAGGTTACATTTTCAATAATGCGAGCTGATAGTCTTGTTTTGCAGATTGAAATGTGAGCGTAATGCATGACTGAAATGAACATATGATGGCTTGCTTTAAACAAAATAAACAGATATTAAAAAAAAAACATAAATCATAGAATAGTCTCCCTTTCTCGGCTGAAAAATTTGTAAATGTTAAATATACAAGCCTTCTAACTTTGCCCAGTCTAAGTCTCACCCCTTACCAGTCAAAACCTATATTTTGAAGAATACATCACACTTGTCCTTTTTATGTTTAAGAAAAATCATAAAAAATGTTGTAATTCGAACCAAGAGTGTATACATTTCTATATTAATCCCAATTGCTTTTAGTGTGGACAGCCTTTGAAGACCCTTGGACCTCACTTTGGGAAGCACTGGTCCACATCGTTTATTGCTGTTGGAAAAGCTGTAAAGACTGGCCTCAGATAAACCCCAGACAGACACTTTGATGTTCTGGTATCAGTGGTATATCCAATAATTTTTTTTTTAGATTGGCCCAGCATCAAAGCTCTTTTTTCATAATAAATGTTGGTTCATTTGGAATAAGGCAGTGTTGCTGTGGGATTAATTAGAGCCACATTCAAAGGTTTTCAGAATCCAGGTTAACGTGTTCCTGCTCAGCCTCATTATCTTTACACGGACTCTACGGTGAAAGTCAAATGTCTGAACTATGTCTTGTTTCCTTTTCGGTGTTTTCAGGCCAGCAGAGCGCTCCAGTGAGGATGTTGACATAATCCTGGCTCGTCTCAAAAGTGTGAAGGCCTTTGAGAGATTCCACCAGACTTTGTTACACCAGATATGTCTGTGTGGGTTTTATGAATGCTTGGAGAAGGGAATCACCTGTAAGTCCAGTCACAGCTGTCAAAATAATATGAGAAAAACTTTATGCATCACATTTTGTTCTCTGCAGTATATCGGCAGGGAGACATCGGCACCAGTTGGTACGCAGTTCTCTCTGGGTCTGTAGACGTCAAAGTTTCAGAGACGTCGAGATATCAGGTCTGTGTATAACAAAGAGAGTGCTTTTGATTATGTTTTCAGAGCAAAACCAGGTTCAATGCATTTGTTCTGTTACATGTGTTATGGAGATTTTTATTTCACCTATACACAGGACACATTCATTTTAAAGGTGCTCTGTGAAATTTTTACAGTTGCTCCAAATGAAAAACCAATTTAACCAATAATTTTTTTTTACCTTTTTAAGCATATTTACCTCCACCATGTTTTTGAATTGTGGTCATAGGCTTAGAATTTGTCCTATAAATGTACATGAGAGCTGGAGGACTCCACATGTCAATGCGCCATCTTGAAATACAGTGGTTGCTAAGGGACAAAAAGGAGTTTGACCGGGAGTTGGGGACCACTTTCAAAGACGACATATTGTCCTGCAAAGCCACCATAGTACCGTAGATTACACTATATGATCTCAACGCTAGATAGGAATAAAAACTACACTGTACTTTTAAAGATGTTTCCTCAAATTACATGTTGTTTTGCCTGGTTATGTATACAGTTTACGTTCCTTTTACATTAGAGACAAACGTCTAACTTCCCTTGGCCATGTTACTTCTTATATCTATAGAGAGGCTGTAACAAAATAATTTAAAGTAGCAGTATAGTATGTTAAAATGTGGCCAAAAGTGGCACTGCAACCTCTCCCACTCTCCCTGACTCAGGTTGCCAGATATGCAGACGAATCCAACAAAGAGTTTTATCAACAACAAATCTATAACCAACACCTTTTTCACAAAGGTTTTATTCCTTGTTTTTTTGTTAACGAGACCTTTTTTAGTACTGCAGCCACATGTTACTTTACCAGTGAGATTAGCTTGACGTTGTGAGTTCTGGCATCCCGGATCACAGACTTTCTGATTGGTGAAACGGTGGAGGGCGGGACATCGGAATTAAAACAATAACAAGATTAAGGGGCTGTTAAACTAATTTTAAAATTGAAATATCTCTGAATTACTTTTATCAGTTAAAGAAGTTTTTGAAAAGAACATGTTTATTAATACCTTTCGACAGATTAGGGCCATGCAAATCGTACATATTGCTACTTTAAAAAGCATTCATATCCATAAAGGAGCATTGTACAAGTTGGACCGCTTCACAAAACACCGGTCACCACCAGTAACACACCTTTAACTTTTAATAAACAAGAAAATCCCATTGAGATTCAAAGATTCTTTTCCATGGATGTTCTGGCCAGAGATTGTCCAAAAATGTTTAGCTGCTTCTTCACAACATGATTATTGTGAACACACTATATGTAAAGCAATTAGTTGTATTTTGTATTTGTAGGATGCAGTTACCATCTGCTCCCTGGGGACTGGCACAGCGTTCGGAGAGTCCATCCTGGATAATACCCCGCGACATGCCACTATTGTTACCAGAGAATTCAGCGAGCTCCTACGCATCGAGCAGAGGGAGTTCAGGTCCCTGTGGGAGGTGAGCTCCATCTGTGCTACTTTCAGCCCTCCAGCAAACTGCCGCCACTTTTTACTCTGCAGAATCTGAATTTGAGGCCAGTTTACTAATTGAAGTTAATATCACATTAAACTCCACAAATATCTCATGTGTGCAGCAAGATAAGGGTCTGTTTAAACTTAGTTCCAAGTGAACTGGAGTTACTTTCAATCAAACCAATTCTGTTTCACTTGGGACAGAAATGTAGCCTGGAAGCAGTGACGTGTGGTAGGTTGGGGATTGGTGAAGCACTGACTTGACCCCAATCAGATGAACTTATATAAAGTTACATTTAAATAATACTCCAGCACAAATCACTTGACATAGTGACCAAGTATGATTGTTTACATGTTATTCTTTTTTCTTTCCATGATCGTACTTACCTGCCTCCCCTGACTCACTGTCTGGAAGTACCCACGCTGCGGTGTGCGCTGAAAACGTTTAGAGCTGCACAATAAATTAACTTGTGATATTAGGCTTCATTTGAGGAGATGTGAAACCATCAAACAAGTGCAGGCTAATTCACGAGTTTCTTCAGTCAGTTTCTTTGAAACAGTTCAGTGACGATATGAGGACAGTTACATTTGCTTTGAAAATCTACTAAGTCCACTTGACAATGACAGGCACTCTGAAAGGACCCCACTGTGGGGCAAATGAAGGTTCTCTTCTGCTTCTCAACATTTGACTGTCTTTGGTTTTCTGCTTTGTTACCACTAGGTGGAGATAGAACGCTTCCAGTCATATTGGAGCCATTGGGCACTAACTTATTACATGGTATATTTGACCAAACATTGTGTGAGACAGGGCCCTGTTGACTGCAGCAGGGTTACATTCCATGCATTGTGTCATGACAAACATTGTAAAAAGAAGAAATTGTAAATAGCTGTAGCAAATGACTCTGAAGAAAAAAATGTGTGTCACAAGATGCTGAAGAAAAACAGTATTGTCAGTGGATGAACAAAAGGAGGATGGTCTGGCCGGTGTGCTCAATGCTCCAGTCATATGTTCTCTTCCCCGGATTGCGTGTTGTTTGTAAGGTGTCGTGCTGCTGACTTATTCACTCCTCCCTGTCTCAGCTGGAGCCACGGACTGGTTTCCTGAGAAGCCCATTTCCTCTGGGACCGAGGGGCATAGGGCTGTTGCATGGCTCTGTGTCACTGCACTGGCCAGCACTGGGACTGAGCACTTAACCTTGTTTGGATCATGTGGCAACTCTCTTAGACAACACCTTATCTATCACGGCTCTGGGATGTCATTTCTCTGCAAGGTCTGTTCAAACCATATTTATGCTGTTTTTGAAGTTAGAATCATGTTTAGCATGCTTTTTTTAACATATAATACGTGGAAAGTGTATTGCATTGACTGGAATAGAAATGGGATTGTACACGCAATCAATTTGAGTCAATACATTGACTTTTGGGAAATATATTTATGCTGGATAGTGAAATAAGACATTGTTGCTTGGTCAAGTAGGATAATTGGTCATTTTCTTCACTGCTTTAAGGTAAAATGTTTATTTACTATTACTAACTATTTTACAAGGCACCTGTTGCTGTTTCAGTGATGCTTGCTTACTCCGTTACTCCCACCACAATATCTGATTGATGCCAATATAACTGCATTATTAATGCAACAGCATTTTGCATTTGGAAATAACAAGTTCAATCTAACTTGTCAAAAGCAGGGTTTTATTTTGGGAACATGCCGGGCACAAGTTTATATAACTAAGGCGACATGAGCTGTGCTTAGTGCAGCGGGCATGACGTCCAGAGAGGGCTTCATCATCAATTTGCTCTCTTTTACGTCCCCCACTTCCGATGGGGCGCAAGACTGAAACAACACATTTGTAATTTGTATGTTTAGAGACGTGAGGCTGCTCTTTCGTGGTCACATCAGCGTAAATTTTCCGGCTTGACAGAAAATAGATTTGGCGTGTTGCAGTAGACGACTTGGTGACTGCATTAGTCTGAGGATGTGGATCTGCTTGAAGCCTGCGGACACAGAACATGGTGTGTGCTTGTGTCACCAGCATCAGTGCAGTGCAGAGGGCTGATGGACGGGAAGTGGCAGGGGCTCCACGTGGCATCTGCTGTTGGAGGAGGGATGTGCGGATGCTGCTGACTCCTGTCTTTCTAAATGTCAGGTGTAAGGAAGTAAAAATGCATGAAACTGATACATACAAAAAATACAGTAAAGTACGCATTAGCAATTTTATAGTATCTCATAGTAAATATCTCCCTGATTCTGGGAGCGGCTAGTAACACATAGTAGCACATGTGCGACCTAAATAGAGCATTTTTAGACCCTTCTAGCTCAGCTCGAGGAGATGGAGGGAGGGATGGAGGAGGGAGAGAGTGACTGGAGCGATCACTTAGCAACCGCTGCTGTTGAGACGCATGCGGCGGGCGCTAGTCACACGCAGGACACGGCAGGATGGACCACTGAGGAACTTTTACATTTAGATTTCAACTAAAGGAGTTCAAAGAGATGGTTTACTGTGCATGGACACCTTATCACTGTTAGGTAATGTTGCATTTGTTTTTCAGATTCAGATTCATTTATTTTATTTTTCTGTAAGTGAGTAATTGTTGAGTAAAGTATATGAGTAAATGTTTTTATATTTTCATGGAAATGGGATATTAAAGTAGAGTTCTGTGTTCTGAACCGTGTAATGTGGTTTTGTCTCGTACAGCTATGTTTGTCGAGAATGTGCCAATGTTGATGAAACTTCCGGTAGTGTCTTCCCCGGATTGTTACATTCAGTGTCCCGAAGTGTGCTGAAGGGAAAGATCTCTGTGTGCTGACAAACTGTGCTCTTTAAGTTTATGTAATCGTCACAGAATTATTCAAAATTCATGTGTGCGTTCATGCACTCTGATGCTCACAAAACAATAACTCACTGAAGCATGAAAGGCCACGTGGAGAGATGGTTTTACAATAACAGATCAGCTATGTCAGAGGCTGATCAAAGATTGGATGGAATTTTACAACATTTAGCCACAAATAGTCGTGCAGTGCAAGAAAGCCGTTCATGTCCTACAGATTTGAAGTAGACAATTTAAGTGTTTCTGTTGATGTTGATGAAAGTGATTGTTGGTTAGAATGTGAAACAAGACGTCAAGCTGCATGAATCATATCTCTGCTTATGTAAGGGACAAGTGTGCACTACGGTGAGCTGTAAAGTAAAAATGGCAAATTTTGCACACTTTCTTTGGTGTGCCCCAGGGCAACTGTGGCGACAGTAGTGGCTTACGGTGTATGGAGTGAATAAATAATACAAAGTAAAGCATCTGTGAGTGTCCAGAAAGAACTGTGAAATCAATGAAATATCACTGAATCAGTCTTCAGTCTCACAGCATTATTGTAGCTCATAGATTGAATAAAAAACAAACAAAAAATTTGCTTATGTGTGCAGACTCCGAAGTGATTAAATATTATAATGAATCTATGGAGTCTATAAATATAATATTATCCTACATTCTTAAAATGCATGTGATAAGATTAGGAAAAAATCAAGATGTTGACAGTTAGCAACAGAGAGATGTAAGCTATAGAGCCATGACTCACTTTTACTTATGGTAACCTTTATCCGTCCCTCATTGGGGACATTTCTTGAGCAGTGATTTCAAGCTTATTTTCTCAAATAAGAAAAGTAATCATTGCCCATGATGGACTCAAGTGAGTGAATAGTCAGCTGTCTACACAGATCATTATGATCATTATACTGTATATGATTTCCCTTTCCAAATTATATTTTCATTTAGAGTAATACAACTGCAAGTAATGTGTTTTCATGACAAGGACTAGAGGAAGAATGTTGTAATGGGGACCAAACAAACCAACATGCTCTTAAAGTGATAGCTATCTCTTACGAGTCCCTGTGAACTAGGTGTGCATTATGACATTACAGTCCATTTACCCGAGAAAAGCACAACGGACATGTCCATAAATCATGGAGGCTTATATTTAACTATATACAAACTTATTTAAGAATCAATCAAAACTGCTCTCAGTTGTGGCCTTCTGCCTCTATAGAGACGGTCAAAAATACACTCTTTCTACACTCATCTCTTCAAATGTAAAGTCTGTATGTAAACACAAATGCAGAGCTGTAATCCTAACTCTGGTCTATATGAAACACCGCACTGGCCCCTGGGACTCATTCCCTCTGGAAGCACATTTTGTTTCTCTCTGAGTGCTTCTCTCTAATCCCTCAAGTGTCAACCAAGTCTAATAAGTGACCTCTTTATTTATTAATGTTGTCATTTTTGTGCGTAATATGCTAGTAAATAATGTTCTGAAATAGCAAATAGTTGCAAATAGCCTCCAGATAGAGCCACGTGGCCTTAAAGGTTGGCTAAAGTCATTAAGTGACTTCAGAGGAAACAATTGAATTTAAAAAGGACCTGAGAGAATACATGACATCATGTGGGCGTGTCTTAGTCCCCTTGAGTTATAGATTCAGAGACATCACTAAGTGGTCTTCAAGCTGCTATTTATTGACCAAAAACAACATGTAACAACCATAAATATGTAATTACATTTCACATTTCTGTTTTAGTCACAATGATAAAGCGATACAAAGGAACAATACCAATTCTGATACAAAGCCTAATACCCTTTTTTAAAATCCTTTTGTTTTAAAACACCGAATTTGCGTATTAATACTTTCTTAGAGGGGTATTTTTTATTGTATTGGAAACAATAGCTCTAATAAACAGCTGGAATGTTGCATATTGTCCAAGTTCATATTTGCAGCTTTAAGCAGTGTACTACTTTCATAATCATAGTTATATGGAAATTGATGACGACAGAACATGAACCAATAGTATCTGTGGCATTGTTTGGTTTTGCTTCAGATGCAGGATTTTAACAAAACATCAAGTTAACTTAAATCCTTTTTGCATTGCTATTTTTGTAATTATATTAATTATCTAATTCCCAGTAATGTCAAAGTGTGTGGGGCTACTTCTCTCACGGCTCATTGACTGTGGTAAAATTGCCCTCATTGTGCCTTGTGCTGTAAACAAAAATATGGCATTTAGAAATGTATAGATGTGTGTTATATAACTGTGATGCTACAGCCTCACACAGCAGATCCTGAGGCTCTGATTCCTCTTGACCTCTCCTCACACAACATTAAGAACACTACTTGATTTTGGACAACAGTGGACTTGTGATTATTTACGAGTCAATTCATAGTCACACAAAGAATTGTCGTGGCGTTACAGTAACAACATATCAGAATGAGCTCTCTCCCCTTCAGTCCATGTATAGTGATGTCAGATCGTGTTTGTGTATAGGGAAAAAGGTCAAACTATGTACATCCAGCAATCTGTGTTTTTCAAAGGTTTTAAATAGCAAGGTTGCATAATCCTGGCTTAATGAAGTCTCTGCTGGACCGGGACTCTGTGTCTGTGTGCCACACTCCCCCTCTGACACGCCATGTTGGACGAGGTGGGTCAGAGTGATAATGTCCCTTTAAAAAGATCTGCATGTTCTCCGTCTCTCCAAGAATGTTTGTTGAAATATGTGTTTTGTTTGCTCTCTGCTGTTGAATAATTGTCATAAAGAGCGCGAAAATATGTAAATAGAGTACGCAGCCAGCCTTGATGTTTATTCATCAAACTGAATTTCTCCATCTGTGTGAGAAAATAAAGGATTGATTGATTGATTGAGAGGGTCCTACAGGTTTATCAAGACCCTTCCTTTTGCATGAGTCATTTTACTTTTTATTTTGAAATTGTTCAGTCTAGTCATGACTGACCAGTGCCCTTGAAACAGCTGAGCTCAGTCAGTGCAAGTCCAAGTCCAGGTCTGAGTCTGATTCTACTGCCGTTGGGGAAGTACATCTAGTGACGTCAGCCTGATACGCCTGCACTGTGTCCTTGCTTGTATTGGTTTCTCTGTTTAGCTATGATTCTAAGCAATACAAATAAGTCATAATAATGGTGAGCTAGCCTTAAATGTGAAATATTTAAATGCGCATAAACAAATCTATTAAGATTTATAGTAGTCTAAACTATTTTAAGTTAAAGGTTTACAATAGATGTAGGCATGTGAATCATGCAATAAGAATACATTATATGTATATTTTCTAAATCCTTTGGGGAGATCCTTCGAAGGAGGTGGTGAGCCTTCATTGGGTATTGACTCCTATTTATATAAACTTGTGAGATATCAATATTTCGGTACACCCCTACTGTCAATACATCAAGCTAGCTTAGCAAACAGAAGGTTTAGCTGGCGACATGACCAGATGGCTGGGGGATTTGAGAAAAAGAGGCCAAGAATGAAGACAAAAGGGCTCCAATTGATCACACTCCATAGGCCTGAGGCTGTGAGACTGCTGGGAGTCTATAACATCTAGTTTGGAGTTTTAAAGTTGAACATTACAAGTCAGGAGCGCTGCAGAAGGACATGGGGAGGACATAAGGGGGAGAGAGTCTGTATCTCTGGCCTGAGGAAGACGCAAGGAAAGAGACTGGAACCATGATGATTTTTCCACTGGAGATGCCTGGATTCTTTCTTTAAAATGTCTAATCCAGTGTATGTTGTGTCTTTTCTAGAAGTATCAACAGTGCATGGCTGGGCTGCTCGCTCCTCCTTACGGTGTGATGGAAAGTGGCTGCAGTGCTGACAGTAAGTTCTTGTCTCTGAACTCTTTTTATTTATTGTCCATGTTGTTGTAACCTGAGGCACTGCACACTTCCTGTTGGCTTTAACACATAACACGCAGGACTCAAAGTACTCTTTAACTTCAAAGTCTTTGAAGTTGAAAACGCCATGTCAAAACATATTAGAATGCATATTCAAGACTTACAGAACATTAGCAAGAGCACACTGGAAGGTTGCTGAAAATAGATTTTTATGTACGTTTTAGACCCGCCCACTCCAGCGTGGTTCTGATCACTTCTGACTTTTGACTTATCATTGCTTTTATTTGTAGGAGTTTCATGGTCCGATCCCTGGTGTTTGAATGACCGATCACTTCGACCCCCACAAACCCGAACATGTGAACACAATCTGAACTGAATTGATTTAAGTTTTCAAGATTCAAGATTCAAGAATTTATTTGCCATTTGCAGTAAAATCCCATTGGAAAAACTGTGCAAGACTATCCCAGTGTGCTCCAGGAGAGTAAAGCTCCTGCCACGGCGCCATTTTTCCCACGCCGCACAGTCTAGAAAAATGAAGCTAAAACATTGTACTTATATATGATATGATTCTTCTGTTATTTGTTCTACAACTGTTTGTACAGTTTATATATAACATTGGCTCTTTTATTCTGATAAGCATCTCATATATACACACATATACATTTACACATTATTGTTGTCCAAGTAAAAATTGCATTGTAGGTTTTGGAAGCTTGTAATGTCCCCTTTAATGATAGAAGTTTGTTAAATGTTCAAACCTCAACATCTCAGACGTTTGTGAATGGATACACTACCCAACATGAGTGTATTTTGTTATTTTCCCCACCGTCTGTATGTTATATCATCTCATCTACCTCTTTTGTGGAAAGTGTATTTGTTTCTGCTGCAAAGGAACTCAATATTGACTTAGTTTGGCTGAAAGAGGCACTTAAACGGCTGCAAAGTCATGTACCATAAACATGATGAACAGCAGTGTGCGTCAGAACACACACTGGCATATTGCAGTGGCATGTATCGGGAATATGGAATGGCAGATTTATTGTCAGGGACTTAAGTTCTAGTGGCACATTAGCTTGAACATACTGATATTTTCAAGAAACTGCCTTAGAGCAATGGATATACAGCCTCTGCATCATGTTAGGCCGTCATTCCATCACAGACACAGCCAATCCAACTTGAACTCTGTTGGATAAACCTAATCATTTCTGATGTCCTGGTTTGTTACCCCGCAGGCTGTTGGATAGTTGCAACTGTTACTATTATTGACAAGGATGATCACAATAGAATGTGGCATCTAGGCCTGTCACAATAATTACTATATTCACTTATACATGTAGTTCAATAACTGATGATAAAACAAATATTTTGGGCTTCAATATTTTCTTTGCAAAAGTGAACCGATTTTTGCCATTTTATTTGTAAAACAATTTTATTTGAGCTGTTGTTTATTATCCTTATATTTTTAATGAATTTAGACAATAAGCAAAATTTCTTTCCTGGGATTATTTCGCTGGATTATACTCACATTGTGTAGTTTGAATTTGATCATTTAATGCAACACATTTTTGAAGCAATGTATTGTTTGTCAAAATTGATTATCGTGACATCCATCAGATATAGTGTTAATCTATTCATAAAGTATTTGCTCGGACACAGACGCACATTGACGCGTGGTCCATGATTTTTATTAAGGACTTTTACATTTACTTCAGACTTCCTCGGATCCATTGCTTCGCTCCCCATCACAGTTGTTGTGTTTAGCTCTGTTCAACCTGCTTCCCAAAGTATTTATAATATCAAAATAGATACCAGGATCACAAAGAGCGAGTGTGACAAAAAACAGTCACTGAGCTAGAGGAGTTTACTTTTACATGTCAGGAGCCAGTGTAAAATGGAGCAAATCTTCATCCATGAGCACTTTCCTATTGGGCTTTATTAAGTTAGGTTAGCAATGTCCACATACTGGTTGCCTCGCTTCTGTCAGTGAAAGAATAATGAAGGGAAGCGTCTTTGTGCGTCTAGAAAAACGCTAAATAAAACCGTTGCATTTTTATTATTATTGTTATTATGATTATTATGATTATTGTTATTATTGTTTTTGTTATTATATTTCCCATTTATTCTGTGTCCTTTCATAGTCGATCCCAAGTACCTCTGTGTTCTGTTTTGCATTTGACTTTGCACTCACAAAAATACCTTTCCAGTCCTGCTTTTTGGGTCTCTCTCATGGCGATAATAGATTAGCACATTTTTATATCGTTGATTTTTTTTGCACATGTTTTTGTCCTGCTGTTTTACATTTCTTTGCTCATATTTCTGAATGATGCTGATGTGCGTGAGTATGTCTGTACAGTGGAGCTCTCTGCACTGAAATCACACAGACATCACGCAGCTGGGGGCTGATGCACTCTGCTGTACGCCCATGAATTAATCATGATTTAAATAGCTTTTTTAGTTACAACAACACTTGGCCTTTGACAGGACATCAGTGTTAACAGCAGGGGTTTTTCTCTTTTACATCAGTCATTCACTATTGCTATTTAAAATCTCCACTCGGCTACATAATAATAACATCCATGATAATTATGATAAATAGATCTCAATGATACCTATGGGCTCATTGGGTCACCTCAGCATCACGTACGCTTCACTGCATATAAAGAACAAGCCCACAATACCATTTCAAATCATGTATTTTTGATCACACTGCCAATTTTCCATATAATGAGAGACTTGGCTCATTGCAAGGTTCTTAACAGCAGGAGATGTTGCTATTTACAAACATATTGCTGAAAATAAGTTAATTTGTGCAAAACCCTTTCAATCTTTGGCTTAGGAATAATAATAATAAAAATAACTTCTGTTCTCTGCATTTATTCCTGTAAATACAGCATTTAGCTCATTGGATAATGTAGCTTTACTATGATTAACTCTGGGATATTTATATTGCTTGTTGAATCTGCCTCCAATAGGAAGAGAGATTGTGTTTCCCTAGAGTTTGTTTGTTCAATAGTTTCAGTGGTTTTTGTTATAGTTTCTGTTACTCCTAAGGTTAAGGGATAATTTCTTTGAAATGTTCAGGAATCCTCCGCGATAGAACAATGAACAAGTGAATACACTTTGGGAGTTATCTGAATCCCCGTCTGGATGTGGGACTTTTTAAAGTAATATTTTTGTGCCTTGCTCCTCCGGCCTTACTCTAGGCCACGCCTCTTTTCCACAAAGCAGCCTGTGCCTCACAAATGGCGCTAATAGAAAATAAACAGTGGATCTGTATCTTCTCTAATTCTGTGCTGAATGTGTGTAGTAAAGCCTGTCATTTCAGCATTTAGTGATTTAGCGCAGAGATTGTCAACTCAAAACAAAAACAACAAAAGTAGAAGCCTTTTCTCTCAGATCACGGCTGTAAATTGTGTCTATAAGCTCATGAACACGTTGCTAAATTGAACAAAGGCGATGTTTATTTAATCGAGCAGTCCACTGGTCTCATAACAGGAGTAACTATCATTTGTTTTTATATGCATGTATTTTTGGGCTGTCTTTAGATCCGCTTTTTCAAGACAGAAACATAAAAAAGAGGACAACAAGTATTTTGCAAGTATTTTGGAATACTTTAACATTGCCTGAATTAATTTTGTTGGAGTTTGGAGGATTTATCCAATAAACCGGGCTCTTCGAAAACAAAGGCCTGGAGGCACATCGAGGAGCTCAGAGCATGCTTCGCTTGTGTACACTTTCTGCTTCTATGAAGATGAACCTTAATAAAGGAGAATGTCTGGATAAAGTCAGTCAGATATGATGTGGTAAATTGTGAGTTTATTATTTACTAAGCACTTAAAGTATTACAGAGAACCATAAGCTTGTCCTCTCTTATCTTATGAGCTTGGTATTGAATGTTTCAAGAACCACCAGAACTATCCTTTTCTTCAATCAGCCCATACCCACACTGTGTAAAACCAAACTATTTCCAGTCAACAGCCTCGAGTGTGTGAGAAAAGCTTTTTTTGATATTTGGTTTGAAATCAGTGTCTACATGTATGCAGTAAATCAGGAGTATCCAAGAATAGCTGTTTCCGCCTGCAGCTCTCGTTCAGACTGAGCTGCATTGACACTAAACGCAGTGTGACCTGCTGGAAACAGTACAAACTTAACATTTAATATTCTGAGAATTAACTTCAGGAATTCTATGAGCCACAAACTCAAAAAGAAATGAGACGTTTGATTGTCCTACTCCAGCACCAGATGAAACACAAATTTCTAATAGTTCAGCCTTTGTGCCTCTCAAACAGTAACACTAATGTTGGTTTAGATGTGATGCAAACACGTGGCTCTACTTGCACCACAGGCCTTTGGGTTTGTGTAAACTAAGGGAAAGTCACTTTTTAAAATTAAATCTGTTTATTTTCTTCTTTCAGGGATGCCAGACAAAGAGAACATTAGCAACAATGCATACGTCCCCAATCACAAGAACAAGGTAATTACATGCACTACAAGCTGTATACATATAAATACTGTACTTATGATCAAACATGTAGATTCTCTACTACTGCATTATGCTTGGATATGTGCCGTTATTAAACAAATGCATACCGGCTAAAAACAGTTGAAAAAAGACTCAAACTCAAGATGAATTGTTCTAAAAGTCGTTCTAAGAACATCTAAATATAACCATGTGACCTATGTCTGTCCATAAGGCTTCCTGCCCCACCTTTCTCCTTGTGTTGCTTCCCTTCCCTTTCATTTAAAAACATGTCTTTGCTGCTGATTTATTTCATCCTGCCCTTTTCCGTGGTGGCACTCGCGACACGGCTGCCCAGTTATGTGAAGAGAGGAAAACATGTCACAGACATTAGTTACATAACGAACAGGCAATAAATATATATAAATCATAAGAAGCCCAGCGTCTTGGCAACAGACTGGCCTAATTTTCCAGTAAATAAGTAATGAGACTTTTAAAGCTTTCACATGAACGCATGACTTACAGTGTAAGAGGAAAATGTGCTGAATGCATTTATATGTCTCAGCCCTGTAGCTTTGCCGCTGGACATCCACAACATTACTACATAGGCTTCTCATTTGCTCTTTTGCGCTCAATAAGATCAGTGAGAAAGCTGGTTTTGTTTCATATTGATTTAAGTTTCTAAATATATATCACATGTTTGCACTAGCTTCATTTAAAGTTATATTTTGCAGTGTTTCTATTTAGTTTTGTTATTTTTTATTCCTTTAAATTTTTGCAGAAGTCATTCATTGAAAGCCCAACCAAACCTCTTCCTAAATGCATTCCTCAGGTAGTAAACATTCTCCTGTGACGCTCACTGCTCACAGGGCCATAGAAACTGTGACCCTCTATCCAGCAGGTTCCCTCAGAGAAAATCCTGAGAGCCGGGAAAATAATCCGGAACGCCATTTTATCCAGAGCACCACATATGATCCGAGACCGGAAGTTCCATCTCAACACATACAGGTCAGTGGAAGCCCCCGACATTTACGGCTGTTACACTACAGTCAAAAATAGTATTCTTAATTTTGTGAAGAAATCAATTAAGCAGAACACAAAGCACAACATTAAACTCTGTTGTCCATGTTTGAAGATAAAAATCACTGTAGTACTATCCTGATTATAAAAACTCCATGTTGAATGTTTTAGCAAAACAAACAAAACAACATGTTTTTTTAGTAAACTTCCCGTGCCAGATGGAGCAAATATGGGGGACAGTTATAGCAATAATACCTTAGTAAAAAAGTTTTGAATATAATAGTCTAATAATCATTTAAAGGTGTAAGATCTAAGCCAGCAATTGGAGCTTTGACCTCTTGGAAAAGGCCTCATCTTCATCATTCAGACTTCAGTCATTTCACTAAGGTCTACGCCACAACAATAGAATGAGATGGAAATAGTTTTATTGATAGCAGCAGGATGAACCTTCATGAAGCCTGCGTGAGACTCAGGGTGGGGGCCCAGCACACCTGCAGCTGATCCGGGACCTCCCTCTGGGACGATGTTCAAGACAGATGAGAGTCAAACTGTGACATGGGAAAAGACAGAACAAATGCCTTGTGGGTAATGAGGAGTGGACTGTAAGATTGTAGTTGGTTGAACAGGGGAGGCGTGGATCTGCACTTGAACCTGAGTCAATGTTTAGTAACAATAACTAATTATACAAACTAATTATTTTGATTTTGGATGGTATACATTTTGTGGGACTAAGCAATATTGTGTTTTGCAGGCAGTGTTGCGTGGGAACTGAGTTGGTGGACTGGCAAATGCAGCAGAGCTCGTGCATCCACTCACGCGCTCAGGCCGTGGGCATGTGGCAGGTGCTGTTGGAGGAGGGCGTCCTGAACCATGGTCAGCCTCCGTTTGATGTCTGCGTGAGCGACGTGTTGAAAAAACCTCTGACTGTTTCCCCGTTTGATTTCATTTTTAACCTGGTGCAGTGGAGCAGGAGCTGAACTTCCAGGACAAGTATCTCTTCTACAGATTCCTAGAGGATGAACAAGAGGACTCTCCTTTACCGAGCGAGGAGGAGATGCAGGAGAGCCAAGAGGAGCTCCAGGACACACTGCTGCTGCTGTCCCAGATCGGCCCAGACGCACACATGAGGATGATTCTCAGGAAACCGTACGCTTCTGTTTACTAAAGCAAGGCTATGTTTGTAGAATTTTTGCCATCATTCCTATAACAAGAAACTTACAATGAAGTTTTGCATTTTAATCTTATAGCTGGTTTCTGCATGTGATGTAGGTTATAAACATAGTCATCGAATGCTTTGTTTGTGTATGTTTCAGCCCATCTGAACGAACAGCGGAAGATTTGGAGACAATTTATGAAGAGCTGCTTCATATCAAAGCCTTATCCCATCTGTCCACCACAGTAAGTAGGTTTGTCACATGAGACAGTCTGAGTTCATGTCTGTACTTTTTGCTCTGAAGTGGCAGTTAGTGTGTTGTTCATGCATTGACCTGATCTTTCTAATTCGCAGGTGAAGAGGGAACTCGCAGGGGTGCTGATTTTCGAGTCTCATGCCAATGCGGGAACAGTTTGTAAGTAGGCAGCATAAGCAAAAGCAGTAAATATGTTAAATTGAATTGAAACTCGGGTCGCTAACTTTTAAATTACAAACAGTAACTTTTAATAAAATACAATCTGTCTGGCTCTCAAAACAGTCCATCATTAGTTTTCACATGCGTGTATTTTTGGCCTCTGTCACATTGTTAGATCAGCTTTCTCCAGACGAAAGAGTGAAAACAAGAGGCTCTCAGCCCAAAGCGTCTAATAGTGACTACCAAGGCTCTTTTTGGAAAATGTTTAGGTTATAAGTATGGAACAGTTGTTGTTCTATTCTGTCACAAAATGTGTGTAAGAATCTGTCCCATAATTTGAATGAAGTCACTGTCAATGACGTATTTGATTAGATTGATCAAAGTGAGGCTTAGTTATTCTTTGTTAATGTTATGTTTTTATCCTTTCTTTTGCCACCGGTTAGTATTCACTCAAGGGGAGGAAGGCACATCCTGGTACATTATTCTCAAAGGCTCAGTCAATGTGGTGATCTATGGAAAAGTAAGTGTTTCTTGTAAACATGAATATACCAATGATATAAATATTCCACTGTTAGTTCCATGTAATATAAGTTTGTACTTTTTACCAGGGAGTTGTGTGCACGCTTCATGAAGGAGACGACTTTGGGAAACTGGCTGTGGTCAACGACGCTCCCCGTGCAGCGTCCATCGTCCTGCGGGAGGACAACTGCCACTTTCTCAGAGTGGACAAAGAAGATTTCAACAGGATTCTGAGAGTGAGTTTCTAACATAACAGTGCTGCTGCCCTCTGCTGGAGAAATGCTGACATGAATGCATCAGGACTACATTTATACTGTAGCAGTGTTTTTTTAGACTGGAGGGTCGCGGGATATTTTTTAGTGAGTCATATTGATAGATCATTTTTTAGATAAGTTATTCTTTACTGTCGCTGTGGGGTCATTCTGCATTCCTCTATAAGGATCAGTGTTTGCGTAGTACAGGGGCCCCTCTCTAGATGTTGATGCTCAGCTTTAAAATCGACTTTTGATTAATAAAGCACTTTATTTAAAATTAATCATCATTTTATATTATTCATTATATTATCATTCAATACTTACAAAATATTCTATTGGTAAAATACAGTATTTCTATCTTCTTATTTTGTTGGAAGCGTTTTAAGTCGATGGTGAGTTCTGAGTGACATTGCTCTAACTGAAAACCCTGATTCAATGGAAAACTAAATAAAAAGGTAAATTAGCTGAATCATATTCAGCATAATCCTAATGTTTTGTTATTATTAGCAGCAGCTGCTGCTAATTCTATTCAAACGTTGTTAAAAAAGTTTAATGAACAAAGACCTCAAAGTTAATTATACCTTCTGCAGATTTTGTACATTTACCCATTCCACTTGGACTTATAAATGGTTTGATGCTAAAGCTTGCTTTTTAAAAACAAGAGGGCACTCAAAATAGGTGTCCAAAATATGATTTTTTTCAAGGACGTTTCAGCCATTACAGCCTTCATCAGATCATTATTTTCTCTTTATTTGGGCGACAATATACAAAATTGTTGTCAGCACAGGCGCTCATAGGCCTCCAAATGAGTGCGAGGTCATCCGGTAAGGACCGAAATGTAAGGACCCCTTGCATTTGCACCTCATCATCATTTTTGGTGCGTGATACATCATCTTTTTGATTTGTACCTTCTAAAACAAAAACACTTGAACCATATTTCCTGGCTCCAGAATGCATAGAATGTGTTGAAGCTAATGATTCTAAGAGGACGATTGTTTATCAGTAAATAAAAAGTGTGTTGTCTGCAGGACGTGGAGGCCAACACGGTGCGTCTGAAGGAGCACGGTCAGGACGTCCTGGTGCTGGAGAAGAGTCTCAGTCGGAGCAGTACCTCCTCCCACTACAAGTGAGGAGCCGCCTTTACCAGCACGTTTCTTTAGTTTGATGTTTATTCTACAGTGGATGGTGCCAGGTGAAAACTTGGTTGCTCAAATATATGGCCATGGGTAAACCAAGTAAACTGTGGTGAATTACATCAGACCTGTTTGGAGAAGGTGCTGGGTTTGAATCCATCTCCAGACAGGGCCTTTCTGTGTATGTTCTCCCTGTGTTTGCAAAGGTTTCTTATTTACAGCACTGCTCGTCATTCATACACACTGTCCTATTCAAAAAAACAAAAAACAAAAATACAACAAAATGGTGTCTGCAAATACTGCAGCTATAAAGTACACAGAATTTTTTATGAGAATCATTTCAAGATTAAAACAAATATTTTAAATGTATTTTAAATCATTTTCTCAATTTGAGAGACTCCTTGTGTATACAGGTATTAAATCATACAAACACAGACTGTTTATTAATAAATACAAGTGTTTATTGACAAGAATGAAACCAAAAGATTAAGATGAATGTCATATAATGGTGTATAAGACGTCAAGACAGAGCAACCATTTGATGCAAAGTCCAGCAAGAAGATTAATCCTACTCTCAGACATCGACACGGCTCGATGGCCTGACCCAGACTCGAGTCATGACAGAGAGGGAGGTGGACATTTTAATCTCAAACTTTAATCTCAATCTACATCTCAATCTTTATCTGAGTCCCCAGACAATTGAGTACATTTTCCAATCAGAAAGCAGAATTAATATCAGTAAACCGCTTTGTGACTCTGGTCTGTGAAAGGCGGTATATAAATAAAAGCTTACTTACTACTTACTTACTTACTTACTTACCAGTTTATCTTCTTAAATCCAGCCGCACTGCAGAGACCACTGCTCCTGACAGGTTTCTCTGAACGATGCGGCGAAAGCAGAACACACATGGGTCGCAAACCTACAACATACTGTTCCTTTAAGACACTTCACTGTTGGGGTCATTCGATGTAAAGCCATTTTAAATAAACTTTATTTGATTAGAAATATAATAATTAGACTGTAAAAGGTGACAGAAAAAATAAATGAAATTAATAAACAATAATGATAATAAAGTAAAATTCAGGTAAAATTCAAGTCAATTTAAAGCTCATGAACAGATGCTTGAATTGTCTGCATTTTTTCTCTTTTTCCGGTTTTTATTACATGAAGTACTAGCATTGTATTCCATTGTTGTATATCCCATTGATACAACATGGCCTTAATAGTAACACTTCAGGCACTAGAGACAATAAACGAAGTCACTTGTCTGAAATAGGTGCATACACAGGCTGATTACTGTCTGCTCGCGACCGCAAATAAAAACAATAAACAGTGTGGCACATCTGAGTGCTCTGCAACCTGTGAGTGTTACTTAATGGAGGCATCTGTCATTGCACTATGGCTGCTGTGATATAGAGAGGCACATTAATGGTAATAATGGCTTGCCTCCTAGTGGGAAAAAAAAGGCCTGGCAAGTCACAATTACTTCTTCAGGGTCGCCCTCTAATCAAGTCCTCTCCCCACTCCGCACACACTGTCAAGACTCCGGTGTCCCCTGAGCGTGGAAAAACTCAACACTGTACAGCTCCCACTCGTCTGCTCAAGTATTAAAACACAAGCAAGGTGAGAGTGTTGATTCTCCCTCTCTGGACTGGATGCGCTGACTTTTTTGGCTTCTCTCCAGCCACTTAGCCCCAGACGGTCCTTCATCTTCAGCTGCCCCAAGAACTCTGTGTGATTGTAAATGCGATTGTTATCAAATGAAGCAATCAAAGACACGTGTTTCGAGTAACGCAAATCAATCAAGGGCGATGGCCGTGTCGCCCCAGCATTAAGAGCCTGTGTTTGTTGATTAGTTAAGAGTGCTTTTTTTTTCTTTCTCTGTTGTCGCGGCAGATACAATGTGATGTCGGGAACGCCGGAGAAGATTTTGGAGCACCTCCTCGAAATGATGCGCCTGGACTCTCAGTTCTCGGAGTCAGGTACTACCCGTGACTGACCGGGATAACATTAGTGGCCTCTCACAGGCTCTGGATGGGCTGGTCATTCACTGTGAAGGGCTTTTCCACAATGACATATATTTATTGTCTCCTCTGTCCTCTGCTTCTCCCCACTGTCCATTCACATTGTGCACAGTGCGGAACAATGTCTCTTCCATATTTTTCTTTTTCTGGGATTGACTTGCTTTTTTTGGATCCACAGATATGGCCTTAGACGACTTTGTCCTCATGCATTGTGTGTTCATGCCAAATACTCAACTATGTTCAGCTCTATTGGCGCAATATCCTTTTCCTGCTCTGCTTTATTTATTTATTTTACTTATTTATTTGAATTTAGGACAGTACAAATTAATCAATGTGTTGGCAAACAGCGTCAACATAAATGGCTAAATTGCTGTTGTACAATTACAATGATACTGTACTAATAATAATTATGTTGAATTTAGTTTATGAAGCTACAGTTTTGCTTGAAACTTTATTATTATTATTTTATGTGTATTTTTATGACAACACTTTTCATTTGAATTGTATTTTTTGTATAGCCCTAAATCACAACAACAGATGTCTCAGACTCTAGTTATAAATTCGCCAACAACAGATTAGAGAATCAAACGGTTCTAACACAGCTAATGCAATAATGACAAACACAGGAGAAAAGTAGTTTCTGTTTTCATCTTTACCCTTTAAGAGTTTCCTCAACCATTTTGTAGATCACATTATTCAGTCACTATATTTACTTTAAGCTTGGAACTGAAATATTCCTCTTTGGGGCATCTCACTTGGTTTTTGGCACTTCTATCATCAAACTGCTTCTCAATCATTTGGTAAAGGCCAATAATAAAAAAAAAACCTAGGGGTTAAAATAAATGTAAAAACACATTATTTGTATTAGTGCTCCTTCATCTTAGAAAATCCAAAACAAAACCAAAAATTACATTGCTTTAAGGAGTGAACATTAACGGGTTTATTTGAAATGAAATGTATAAACTTTCAAGTATAACTGTACAAGAGTCTTGGCTTTAGTTAATTAAAACCTAATCAGTGAATCGGTTTGAACAAATCCGTGTGAGATCCTTAACAGCCCGGCACTTACCACGCTCAGGCCTCTCAAGGCTCGGAGCAGGAGAAGCTGGACTACACTCTGAACAACAAGCGCAGAGTGGTGCGGCTGGTCCTGCAGTGGGCCTCGCTACATGGAGACCATCTGCAGCAGGACCATGTGTCCGTCATGTTCATGGAGGTCGGTGGAGAACGTCTCTTCATACAGTATATGATTAAGTAGAGAAGGTAGTTTCTGTTTTATTGATCAATAGGGTTTTTTTTTTGTTCTCAGGAGTTTCTTCTGGCAGTCTCAGAGGACGCAAAAGTGATCCCAGCTCTCAGGGATCAGCTGACAGAGTTGGAACGATTGGTCAAACAAAAGTATGTTTTTGCTTCACCATTACAATTATGTTTTGTGTTATCGTCACCATATCATGATAGATTATATGTCATTTTAACCTAACCCATGTTTTTAATTTGGACTATTGTATGTTGCAGCGATGACGTTAGACTAACACCGAAAAAGGTAAGCAGGACTTGAGTTTTGTCACAAATGTATTTCAAATGAAACTCCAGCCGGTAACAGGTTAATAAGTGGTACTTCTTTACACTGTAGCACAAAGTTTTATTGAGGCAATTCAGCACTGGAGAAGATAAGCCTCACAAGAGGGAGCCAATCAGGAGCACCGATGAAAGTAAGTCATCGTTACAAGTCCCAAACATAGAGTGTGCAGAGAAACCGGAAAAGCACTCTTGTTTTTTTATTTAGTATCAAAAAGCCTTGATTGTGACATGGCAAACGCGTTTCAGCCCCACTGGCCCTCCTCAGCGTGCAAACAGATCCAAGAGATACAATGAGTCTGCACAAGTTTAATAGGGTTAAAACTCCCCCTAACAGACATACTTTAGTGTGAGCTGATGTACCAAAAATACAACAATTAAAAGATGGCAATCTCAACTCATTCTTGATTATTGAAATGTGCATTCAAATTTAGAGGGCGGCATTTTGTTCTTTCTCCTAAACGTACTGTTTTAGAGAGAAAAAAGGCCAGGTACAGCCAACATGAGTCTTTGGCCTGAATATATTCAATTCAACAGAATCAGTTGTTTACTACAACCCAAATATAAATCCCATATCAACAAATATGAGGACACAATATTGCGATTTAGTTTTTCCAGCCCATGTATGCAGTGATGTAAGAATGAACTCATGTTACCTCTTGTCGTCCTGCAGTCCTGTTCAAAGTGTATTGTTGTGACCACACCTACACCACGATCCGGGTTTGTGTGGGGGCCTCTGTCAGGGAGGTGCTGGGGGCCGTGTCTGACAAACTGGGGTCAGCAGAGGAGCTGCTGCTGATCGGCCTCAGCTCAGCGGGAGGTGAGAGGAGCACACATACAGTAATGTCCCTTTGCAATTACATTCACGTTCCATTGTGGAGAGACAGCAGAGAAAGCTTCAATGATGCTAAAAACTAGAGCTGGAATCTGACTGGGGTTTGATTCAAAAATAGCATTCTTTCTGATTTTTACTAATAATAATAATAATGATATAATGAATTGGTTTTATATAGTGCTTTTTGAGCACTATAGGATCATTTATTCACACCAGCTTCATACATACTGTAGGTGAAGTGTTCCCAGAAGTCTCCCATCACAGTACTAACCAGGCCCTGCCGTTTTTAGCTTCAGTGATCTGGCCCGATTTGGCTTTCACATGTAGGTGGTGCCACATGTATTTATCTTATTTTGGATTTCCCCCTGAGATAAATTGTTGAGGGGTTGCCGATGTATCTATTAGTCCATGAGAGTTACTATTAAGCTTACATTATGCACTATCCCTGAGACGGCAGTACGTACATTGTCCTGGAATTGTGTTTTTGTTTGACAGAAAAAGTCATCTTCAAGCCCAATGATGTGTCAATATTCTCGTCACTCGGCATAAACGGAAGACTGTTCGCCTGCAGCAGGGGTCAGCTGGACTCTTTGGTTGGTTTTACACAATTGTCTGTAAGAGCGTGAACATTTGTTAGTGCGTCTCTAACTTTTAACCTTCAACATATTACATACATGTCAACATTATATAAAGGAATAAGCCTTCAGAATTACACTAGATTCAGCAACAATATGTACATTTGTGCTTGAAAGTTTACACACCCAGGCAGAAATTTTGAAATATTTCTTACATACTTTTTCCCACTCATTGGTGACGATTGTGTGACAATTTGAATTATTTGAATTGGATAGTGCATGTTGATGAACCACCATGAACATAACTATGATGGATGATTGCATTTCCATCTGTAGTCCCAGGGTGTTAGGGCTACAAGGAATTAAACACAGATTAAATATAAGAAAAAACGCATTCATGCCAATATAGTGAGTAAGTAATGTTTATTTATATAGTATGTTTTACAGACCAAGGTATATTAGCTCACGTTCCCCCAAAGTACAACCCACACATTCATAATACACCAGGAGTCCGCAATGTTCAAATCCACATTATTGCAGACAATATTGAACACATCAAAATATCAATAATGATGAATGAAATAAAGGTTTTTCTAATTTTCCAAATGTGACCAAAACATTGACAATATTTGTGTAATCTGAATCAAGCTAATATTTTAACCCATGACCAAACTACTGTATATTGGAAAATAGTGTGTTGGCGCTTTGTGTTGGCGCTTTGTGTTGCCTTGTGTAGGACATGTATATCATTGTATGTCACTTGCAGACGCCTCTACCAGAGCAGGAGGGACCAAACAGCGGGTCTTTGGGAAGATTTGAGATGATGAGCTCCAAGGATGTGGCTTACCACATGACGTCCCACGACTGGCAGCTGTTCCACTGCGTACATGAGGTGAAAAAGGACCGACTTAACAGCTACGACAAGCTTCCTTCAAACTGTGGTTATTTCTGCCAACAGCTCGAGCTCATCTATCACACGTTCGGGAGACAGAATGTGAAGAAGTCCACCGTGAACTTGGATTTGTTTTTGAGGCGTTTTAATGAAATTCAGTTCTGGGTGATCAGCGAGGTCTGTCTCTGCAGCCATCTCAGTAAACGAGTGCAGCTCCTCAAGAAGTTTATCAAGATCTCTGCACAGTGCGTCCACTTTTTTCACTGTTACTGTACTTGCTGGACTTTTAGGCGCACCTGTATACAAACCGCACCAGCTGAAGTGGAAAAGAAAGTAAATATTGCCCACATATAAGCCGCAGGTTTCAGTGTTATAAGGTAACACTTAGCCATCAGCTAAAAGAGAGGAACAATTGGACAATAGACAGAGGATCTTACTGCACACACAGTGATTTAATGCACAGTTGACTTGTGGAAAGTTTGGTGAGTAAAACAACGCTCCGTGAGAATGCACATATTAACACACCTTAGCATGTGTTAATCTATTCAGACAATAAATGTTCGTCCTATAACTGGAACTATGGAGTCAAAATAATGTCCATAAACTGTGCTTTGACAGCAGTCCAACTCTACCATAATAAAAATACTTATATTGGCTGCATTGCTAAACAGGCAGCGTTCAAGAATAAGTAGCGGCTTATAGTCCAGCAATTACGGTAAATACTGTCCGTGTGTGGGTCAGTTTTGTGCCTCATGTCTGACTTTTCTGTTGGCCACAGTTGTAAAGAGTACCGTAATCTCAATGCATTTTTCGCCATCATCATGGGACTGAGTAATCCAGCTGTAAGCAGACTGAGCCAAACCTGGGAGGTGGGTGATTCTTTTTTGGATTTAAAGCATATAAATGGTGTAATAAATATATCAAAAAGTTGTTGTTATTTGTTTTTTTGCAGAAGCTTCCTGGCAAGTTTAAGAAGTTTTATTCAGAATTTGAGAACTTTTTGGTAAGAAATGTACAACAAGAAATTGGCTTTTGCTTGACTATTTGTGTACCAACGCTATAACATTTTTTCACATAATAATCTGCCATAATAATCTACAGTAATAGAGTACTTTTTTGTTTCAATATACTTTTCTTTTACTCACAGAAAGAGTTGTAATTTAATTAATTAATTAATTAATATCACAAGGAAAACATTTGATTCTTTACATACTGAGAGCTGATTGGCTGAGTGGGGGTGGCCCTCTCATGTTCCCTATTCTGTCTGAAAAAAGTGATTGACTAAAATGATGATGATGATGTGACTAAAATGATGAAGCCAAAAAAACATACATGTGAAAATTACCACAGTTTTGAGAGTGAGGGACAAGTTACATAGATTTTATTACACTTTTTGGTGGTTTTAAAGTTAGGTACACCAGCTTTAACCACCATAACATTGTGATGCCTCAAGTCTAGTGTAATTCATGTCTCCACAGGATCCTTCCAGAAACCACCGAGCGTACAGACTCACCATGGCCAAGCTGGAGCCTCCCATCATCCCCTTCATGCCTCTGCTGATCAAAGGTACGCTCCTGTTTTGTTGTTGTGGAATTGCTTCTTTAACAGCTTCTATCAAACAATTGACCTCACTTTTGCTCACATTTTACTCTTATTTCCTCCCCCTGTTCCAGACATGACGTTCACTCACGAGGGCAACAAAACGTTTATCGACAGTTTGGTCAATTTTGAGAAAATGGTGAGGCTCTGAAGGTGTATTGATTTGTCAGGTGGTGTATGACTGAGGTTTTACCTTTTCCTATACCTTCCAGAGAATGATTGCCAATACAGTCAAGATAGTGAGATACTGCCGGAGTCAACCATTCAGTAAGTACCCCTAGTAAAATAACAATGGTTATACCTATAATATCAATAATGAGACTCAATGTTAGTAGAAAAATAGCCATATCTAATATCGCTGTTGCTTGGATTATGGATAATAATAACAAATACACAAGAACGTAAAAAAACAAAATACTGTCAAGTGTTGGAGTACTTGTTTTGTTTCCTAAATACATTTGATCTTTTACATACTGAGAGCTGATTGGCTGAGTGAGGGTGGTAGAATCTAACTTTTAACCCACACAAGAAATAACTATGTAACAAAATTCATTTAACTAATTCCTCGCACTCAAAATGCTTTGGTTCTATCGCTAGTTTTCAAATGCATGTATTTTTAGATCAGTTTTTTTCAGAGAATCCAAGGTCTAGCCTGCTCTCAGCCAATCAGCTCTCAGTATGTAAAAGATAAAATGTTTTCTAATACGGTGAAGACAGCATGTTATGATCTGATTTGTTCACAAAATGTTACTTACACAAGACTCTTTCTGATGGCTCCAAATGTAATAATGAAACCAAGCAAAATTGAGGTACTCCAGCTTTAATACATCTCTTTCCCTTTTTCTCCAGGCCCAGATTCTCCTGTTGCCGGGAAGAACCACCCTGAAGTGTGGCACTATATTTGTCATCTCAATGTGATAGACAACCAGAGGACTCTGACACAGTTGTCTCACAGACTGGAGCCGCGCAGGTCTTAAACAGGGTCCGTCACATAAGCTGCTTCACTGCTTTATGTACTTTGCTCATGAGTATTGTTTGGAATGCAAATGCCAGTGACCTTTATTACAGTACAGTATTTTCAGTATTTGTATAGCTCCAGTGTTCTGAGAGAAAGTAAGTGACAACAAGGGCAGATTTTACTAGATCATACTGGGTGCTCCTGTCAGTATTGGACACACAAATTCCTCCAAATGCGACTCAAGTTGTGGTATTAAATTGTAGTGTGTTTTGTATACTATTATATTTATACTATTTATTTATTTTTGTCTATTCTGAACTGTAAATTGTATACAGATATTTATTTTCACACCAGCATAAAAAAAATCTGTCTTTGTGACGGCACACCCAGGTTGTTGGACTGGGAGTAGGGTACTCATTTACCTGTGGCCCCTTTCAAAGTCCAAATGGATTTATTATCACAGTATGAAGTATGGCCCCTCCAAGAAGATTTGTACCTTGAATGATATTCCTCTGTACATTTTATTTTTCAGATATTGATATACAGGCATTTACAGAGGGGTAATGTGCATGTTTCAGGAAAGTTGTTCCAGGGCCTGCAGCACATTTCTTCAGTGTTTTCAAGGAACTGTTCATAGTGTTTTCTATACTATCTATGTGCCATACAACCTGTTTGTTATGCTACTTATTTTATGCTGTATTCAAGGCATGTTGAAACAGAGAATAAGGTTCTGTTCTAAGTACCAATAAAGCGTTACATTTATGGACACATGTGAGTATATTTATATTGAGGAAAAGCCTGTGAAATATCGGTTTGTCTTTATAGTACAACCTCAATGAAAGCAAAAGTGTTTATGTTATTCCCACTCTGTCCACGGAGAGGCGCTGTTGCTGCGCGTATGTGCACGGCATGTGAACGGAGTGTAGTAAAAGTGAGTTGTTGCAGAAGTTGTGCAACCAGTAAAACCACTGTCAACAGATTGGAGAAATCAAACAGCGTCACATGTGATTCCCGGAACTCCGAGTGCATCCCTGCCCTGCCCAGCCTCACGCACAGGACCGTCCACAGACCGGACCGGACTGGACTTCCCAAAGTCTGGCCCAGCCTGCAGGCCCTGTCCTGGGCACCTCTCTCCGGACACACACACCGCTTCATGTCGGTATGTACCCATGGTATGTACATGTCCTAGTGCGACATATGAGTGTGTCTAGGAGCAGCTGACCGGGTTAGCTACCGGAGCTACCGGAGCTACCGGAGCTAACAGGGACAAGTCTATGGACCCGAGGTGTGACCCTTATGTGCAGAACATGCAACATCATTTTCTGCGTTGTGAAAGACATCCAAGTGCTTTTGCACTAGTACCATGGGCCTTTAACAGCCTCCTCTTGTACTACCTCTGCTGATGTTATAACGAGGTTATAATAAAGAGCCATTATTCTCTTCACCACACTATGGTGAGTTTATAAATCAGTTTTTGATTTAAAAAAATAGAAAAGATCAATATTAATCATCATGATAAAATAGTACTCAGACCATAGTTGTGGAATGAGAATGACCATTAGTGCATATAACATATTCAGAAGTCATAGACAACCAGCAATGAGAGTTCTCAAGTAATGTTTCCTGGTCAAGGGAAGTGAGCAGAAATATGCTGTTCAGTTGTTTGCCCTGTACCTCTAAGATCTCTATATAGAAATAATATGTTATGTTATGTTATATTTCCTTTATTTTTCAAATTCAACATTTTGTTTTCCCCATAGAAAGAGCACTTTAATGTCTGAACTTTGTTGTCAGATAAAGCTGTCCTAAAGCTGTGATTAAGGGCAATAATCATGTACATTAACAATAGCAAAATTGCCCCAGGGCAGCTATGGCTACGTTAGTAGTTCACCACCACCATGCATGGAACTGTCTTTGGGTGTCATAAAAAGCCTCTATATAAGTATTGTACATTATTATTATTATTATTATAACAACAACATATAGTTCCCCATTTTACAATTTGAGCACGATAGATTACCTCCTTTAGAGCTTTTGAGCTAACCATCATATTGTAATGAGAAATGAATCTACCAGGGATTTTCAGTGTCTCCATGGCATCCTTCTATCGCTCTGAGAACTTTGATAATACAGTTTATTAGGAAGAGTTGCTGCGTATGTCTTGCCTATGACCTTCTGTGTTTGTATTTGAAATGATTAAAACACATAATTACCAGTTCATTTCAAGGATACATTTTGGCTTTTGTGCTTTTGCCGGGGCTTTAGTCTTTGTAACCGTTTTCACGGCATTGTTCTGTGACTAATAGAAACATTTTGCTCTGATGAATGCACACATAAGTGGCTCGCAGCCTTGCTTAATAGCCTTCATGTACGCTTGGGTCATGGGGCAATTTTCCTCAGCACTAGAGTGTTTTCTGTCATTTATTTCTCACTTAGGTGTGATTACCTGCAGCTTGACATATGGCTATCAGAGTGAGAACTAACAGGAAACCAGACTGAAGTGGCCCATATCCCAGTAACCCCAGACTCTAGAGTGGGCCGACAATGCAAGGGCCAGGCCAAGGAGCAGATTGGCACAAGGCTAAATATAGCGCAAATTCAAGTAAATCAGCAAAAACCCATGGGACCCCGCTGTGACAATGAGGTGCACCCTGCTGATTGGATAGCTATACCAATGGAAGCCCAGGTAACGGCCTTTTAAAAGAGTAATTGCTCAGCTGTAATGGGGAATGCTAACCGAGCAGCAATTTTCTGAAAAAACAGAATCATTTATTTACCAGAGCCTTAGTTCCAACTGCAGTCAAAGAAAAGGATGTGCTCAGTACATGGCATGGACCATGGTCGGGCTGGTCCTCCATTTTGATTAAGATTCAGATGTTCATTAACGTCTAAATGTTGTCAATGATACTTGACACTTACTCATTTTCTGGGAATAAAGATCAAATGTTTCTGTGTATGGAGAGAATTACAGATCCCCAAACGGACGTTCATCTCAGATAGTAAGTGAACTTTGTAATGGCAAATATGGCAAATATGTACGTTCTGAAGAATATGAGAATTCATATGAGAATGAATTTAGAAATAATGCTGAAGTTTTCTTTATGATACATTTACATACATATAATTACTTCTTCAAAATAGGTTTTTGCATTTTGGGCTGAGCCCAAAATGCTCAGCCCATTATTTGTTTTTGTAATAATGTTATGTGATTATTGATTTGAGTTACCTTATGTTTGAATTGTGCTGTAAAGATAAACTTCCCACAGTGGTTTTTGATCACCAGCAGTTAAAATTAAACTGTTTTGTGTGTGGCGTCATGTAGGTAAATTCAATCTATTTTGAGTCTTTTTCGATTATGATGGTTTCCTCTTAAAATAAAAAATATTTAAGAATTGTGTACTGAAGTTTTATGGCTGAGCATTCTGGATAAAATCTGTTTTTTACCCTATATTGACCGATCTCGAGGATCGACTTGATTAATAAGAAAAATAGGTCATTTGTGCATAATAGTTAAGTGAAAACAAGGTGTGCTGTAAAACCTTTGTGAAGAGTTTGGAGTTTTGGTATCTTGTTGACGTCCTGGACGAACAAACCCAAACCCTTTTGGTCCATAAGAGTTTTCAATCAATCACCAGTTACCAAAAATAAATGCTAAATGAAACGAGTGAGTGTCTCTCCTCTTCAGCCCCCCTCACACTGTTTTTGCCACATGATTGGTGTCTTTCGGTTTTATCCCAGATGCCAATAATCACAATCTACAAAACTTGAGATCCGTCTGCAACTTGGTGCCCAGCTCTACCGTCCATGTGTGTGCCACGCATGGATCTATTATAATAACGGTGCCATCATGTGACCCAGGCCTGGACATTCCCAGAGTGTCTGTGCCTCTCCAGAACAGTCTGTCTCTGCTGCATACTGGACCTGTCGTATGAGGCCCTCACACAGAGCTGACACCATGCTGTTTTTGTCTGTCTCCTCCAAAGCCGACTGTTCCCTGAGCCTCAGCATGCCATGGCCAGCCCGAGTGCCTCGTTTGTCCAGATTAAGTTCCAGGACATCCTCTTCTACGAGAACTGTGGCGGGGGCAGCTTCGGGAGCGTGTACCGCGCCAGGTGGATCTCCCAGGACAAAGAGGTGGCCGTGAAAAAACTGCTCAAGATCGAGAACGAGGTAGGAGTCATAATTACCCCAAGCTTTTCATATACTTTTAATTGTCAGTGTTGTAATCATTTTAATTGCTGGCTCATTTAGGGGGTTGTGGTGACTTGTGTAGCCGTCACTCACGCTCATTATACTCCCCCTCTCAACTAGAACAGAAAATGGCGTTCAGGCAACATCTCGGCAAAACCCAGGAATCTATTTGCAACAGTTATCGCAAAGACTTTGATTTCTTTTCAACGCGCTCATTGTGCGAAAGACAAAAAATGAATTATCTTTGAGATCTTTGTGTGAGGGGAGAAAAGTCATACGTTCCTGCCCTGTGATGACAAGTTGAAAAAAAAAGTTATTCAGCGAGGCTTTTATGGAATTCTCAAAGATCACCCGTATCCATTCAACTTCGCTCAGATGTTGGAAAGATGGAGAAAGTTGGAGAAATAATACCATAATCGTTTCTTATTGAGCTATTGTAGTCTTAATTACAGTGTTTAGGTATAATTAAATGAACTGGTTTTGTCAGGTCTTCAAACTGCTGTTTTATTACATCACGTTATATTTCAGTAATATTTCGATGACTTTCTTTTTCTTAGGCTGAAATCCTGAGCGTCCTAAGTCACAGAAATATAATCCAGTTTTATGGAGCTGTCCTGGAGTCCCCAAACTATGGCATTGTCACGGGTAAGATTGGATTTGGTTTGAACAAAAACATTACCACGAGATTCATAGATGTGAACAATGTTGATAAAAGTGAATATCTCAAAATGAATCTCCATAACATTTGAATCATGTAAATGTATTTTTTTATCAACTTAAAACGTGAAACCAATGAATGATATAGACCAGAAGTCAGGAACCTCTAAAACTAGCAATTAAAAAGCAGAAATACAACTTTAAACTTTGATAGATTGATTTAAAAGACAACACAATATCCCAGTATCAGTAAAACATCAATCAATCAGTCTTTATTGGTAGAGTGCCTTTCACACAGGGCAACTCGAAGCACTTCACAGTCCACATCACACAAGGCACACATAGAAGAATCGCCAAAAATCACCATAAAAAACACAATTAAAATCACAAAGGTCATTAAAAATATTAAAACATTAAAATCACACAAGGGATTAAAATAGTAAACAACCACCGAGCATTAAAAATAGTGATAAAATTGTTCAGTTGAAATCATTAACAAATATTAAACTATACCGTTGCGATATATTGGAAAGTTCTTGGGACTAATGATTACATTTGAGAATATTGTCATTGTGATTGGCCGGGGGTTGAAATGCTGATGCTACAGTTTCAGGCTCTTTGTGTTCTCAATAGAAGGGAGTAGACTGAGAGTTCAGGAAGTGACCCGCTTGAGAAACACTGTCCACGGTGTTTCTCAAACTGTGGTGCGTGTACTACTGGAACTACTGTTTTACTAATAGTTGTGTGTCACTTAACTGTCACAGTGGATTGAGCTCTTGCAAAAAGAGATGGGATGCAGGGCGGTGTGGAGAGTTCTGCAGGTGTTCCTCCAGGTGCTCCGGCTTCCTCTACCGCTAATAACATATGCAATGGAGTTAATTAATACACACGGTCCCATTCAAAAACACATTGTTCATTATCGCCGCACAGGAACTTCCCTGTTTCTGTTTACAGCTTAAGTGCTTTGCTTTAAGAGCCATATTAGAGATGGGGAGGTTCAAACAGTGTGAGAACTACTATTCTACAACATAATTCCAACATTAATGACTCCCACAAACTCCATAAGGATTTTTCTGTCCACATACTGTCCATTTTAATTAACAAAACATCAGTCATTGTCCTTTAAATGGCAATTTCAGACAATGAGGTTATTAATGTGTGTCTAATGACATAACCAGTTGTTTGAATAGTTTGCTCATGGCTGTATTATGACTTAATTGCCGTGATATGAGGCCACTAAATTAAATCCCATCACCCTTGACAAAAGTGAATCTGGAGAAAACTCTTTCGTTCTGTTTGTTTATTCTTTAACTCTGTCCGTTTCCTGCCGCTCCTCTTTTCTAGTTTAACAAGTTCGTCCAAACCCAATAGATATGCACCGCTGCTAATCACTTCACATTCTCAAGATATAATTTAAATATTATGAGAATTAATCTAGTTCTGTTCTCATTTTTATTTTTATTTCTGATAAATGTGTTAAATGTTTTGTTTAGTTATGTATTTATTTGAAGCCACTATCTTCCCTGTGTTATTTCCTACTTAAATGTCATGCTCAGTTTATTTACCAACACCATTTTGGGTGGGACAGGACAGGAGCGAAAATGACCAATCATGGCTTTCCTGTTCATTCATCGCGGCACAGGAACTTCCCTGTTTCTGTTACAGCTCAAGTGCTTTGCTTTAAGAGCCATATTAGAGATGGGGAGGTTTATCTACACTTTTAATACAACTGTCAATATGCAGAGGGAATCATGTCTGGTGTAATGAGGGCGTGTTTGGAAGCCGTTTTGTAAGTGGAATGTTGGCAAACTTTTTTTTTTTTCAGAAGCCCTATTGGAATTGCAGGATGGGTCAAATGGAGTGGACAAATTGCCCTAAAGGGATAATAAAGTTTACCTCAAAGGATTTTCTTAGGATAGAACCTCCCTCTCCGCTTTTAGAACAAAACTCTCTGGTCTTATTTGACGTGCACGTATCACCAGAATATTGGGGGGACCAATAGTCTTAATGATCCACCCGGAAGTAGAAAATCCCCCGATATACCTTAAACTGTACTTTAATAGGTCTGACCTTTTTGAGAAGAAACAGATTCAGTGGCCCTTGTTTGGTCATGTTTACCTGTCTCTATCTATATAAAGTGCAGTACTCATCCACGTTTACAATGTATGTATATATACAGTATATATATATATATATATATATATATATATATATATATATATATATATATATAGAGATAATATATATATATATAATATATAAATGAAGTAAACATTTGTTCTTCTTGTATAAATAGAAGCTGAATAAAATGCATCACATTCTGTGGTTCAGCTTTTTCTTTACCTTCTGCAGGTATTTTGCCTGTTGTGTCTTTAGCCTGTGACGAGTTTTGAAAAGAGCTGTCAAAAATCCATAGCAGCCGGTAAATGCTCTCAGATGTCACAAAGTTTTAGCGGCGACACGTTTTCTTTGAAGCCTTGGGATTTGACAAGGCGTCTGGCCGACAGGAGCCTCTTTGTGTTCACTTACACTATGATAAATTGAACTCATCCGCAGCGACAGGTCAGTGACAATCTGTAAACAAGACGCTGTCAGCTGTCTCCGTCTGCCGCCATTTCAATTTCCAGTTGTTTTTATGTTACGCTCGCTCACACACTGGGACAGATTTATGTTTAATGCTTTAGGTAACAGGTTGCGGCGATACAAAAACAACATGATTCAACAATCTAAATGTGATTGCATTTCCATATTTGCCGTAGAGTATGCTCCTGGTGGGTCACTGTATGATTACTTGTCCAGCGAGGACAGTGAGGAGATGGACATGGGTCAGATCATGACGTGGGCTGCAGAAATGGCTAAAGGTACTTTTCAAAATCTCATGAACTAAAAATGAAAATTAGCAAAGGGTCAATTGTGACTATTTTTCTGTTTAGGAATGCACTACTTGCATTCGGAAGCTCCTGTGAAGGTTATCCACAGAGATCTAAAATCAAGAAACGGTATGTATAGTTGTTTGAGTAATAATATTATTGATAATAATTAGCAATAATCACTGGTGAATAATATATACTCTGTTTACTATGCATTCTTCTCCTAAAGTTGTGCTGGCCGCAGACAGATCATTGAAAGTAAGGGATTTTTCAAATACACCCATTACAGAGGTGTCAAACTCACTTTTTCAAGGGCCAAAAGAGCTGGTTGGGGCCAAAACATGTTTTTGTCTTTAAATTAACTGTATTTAACACGAATTATACTATTTTCTAGTAGGTTTGTATTCAACCACAACTGGGCCAAATATCAAGAAGAGATGTATTGACTGATAATTATTTTTTGTCCTATATATATTTAACTAACTATAACTTCTAATTGCATTTCCTTTAACCTTTTAGAACAGATTAAATTCTTTGGTGGTTGTCCTGAGACAATGGGCATGTTGTACTTCATTTTATTGCCCATCACCATCAATGCTGCAAGTTACTGTGAATAGAAATAACTGAAAATCATTTTTGGGGCCACTAAAATTGGTCTTGAGGGTCAGATTTGGCCCACGGACCTGAGTTTGACATGCCTGCCTTATGTTGTTATGCACATCTGTCAACATCAGCCAACTGTATAGTCCAGATTCACTTTATTTGAATAACAAGACTTTTTTCCATTATAGATCTGTGATTTCGGTGCATCTAAGTTCCTGACCCACACCACACACATGTCTCTGGTGGGTACGTTTCCATGGATGGCCCCAGAGGTGATCCAGAGTCTACGAGTGTCCGAGACGTGCGACACGTTCTCCTACGGCGTGGTACAGTTATATTGCACGTAACACAACATGTACTTGACATAATCCTCATGTTGATGCACTTTAATAAAGTTAAACATATGTTAAATTCATTCTGTGATGAGTGTAGTGAGATGTCTGCTTCTCTCAGTCTAAATATTTGGTGGTGTGGAGGAGCCAAACAGACAATGTTTTTGATTGCAGTGATCTGTCTGCATCAGGTGTGCCATAAAATGATTGCAAATGTATTCATGTACTTTTGCCGCTTAGATTTCTCAAGAGTTGTTTTCTATAGTAGGACAGTCACATGTATGTAATGAGCTGCAGCTGTGATGGAATGATGAGAACGCTGTAGTACAGTTGGGGAAATTGCCGTTTCTGTGGTTATCAGGATATCAGCTTTTTTCAGAATCAGGAACATGAAATAGCAACTACAGTTTAGTTTATAGTTTATTGTGGGCTGTAGTGAGTATTCTGCCAAACCTCTAACTGGCCTGATTGTTTGTCTGGGTAACAGGTGCTCTGGGAAATGCTCACGCGGGAAATACCCTTCAAAGGTTTGGAAGGTTTGCAAGTGGCCTGGCTAGTCGTGGAGAAAAATGAGGTGAGCTTCTTTGCATTTATGCTCACAATGTTTCTCACATTTGTTCTTTCTTGTTTCTGAGATAGTAAATGATATTGTAAAAAATAATCAAATAATCAAATAATCAAATAATAATGACAAAAGAAACTACTCAAATGCCCTTGATTAGAATTGCCCATACCCCAGTTCTCAATAGCTCAACATTTATAACATTTATGACAGATTCCTCTTGCCAGTTCCGGTAAATTCCTGGACTGCCTTGCATGAACTGTATGTATCAGAATCAGAATCAGAATCATTTTTATTGCCACGTAAGTAACAGGAAGTCACAGACTTGGAAATTGCTTTGGCTCAGTGCAACAGTCAGAGAGAGATAATAAAAAATAAAGAATAAAAAGCACTTCTAAGGAATACATTTAAATTTAAAATAGAGTTACAGTTGTAGGAGATGTATCTACATCACCTCAATGATGTCATAATAGAAACTATGTTTATTAAACAATACGGTGGTTGTTGCCGGGGTTACGTTCTAATAATAAGTTGCAATAAGCCAAATCTGCTAAGTTGAACGCGCAGGCACGCGGCTGCTGTCTCTGTGTAGTCTATGGAGAAGTGTAGAGGACAGTACGGGCCAGAGAACTGATGTAGAGCAACAAAAATCACATGTACAGTATGTATTTGTCCTCAAGGTCTCTGTGAGCTGGTGAGGCCAGACACAAGACTCTATGAAAGAAAAAAAAGCCTGTTAAAAAAATCCCTGTTAAACCTGCTAGTCTTCCTAATGTTTAATATAAGTACTGTGTGTGCGTATGGAGGAGGTCTAGAGCCAAGGGCCGCTAGCAAAATGAGGTTTCCATGTGTTTTGACTGGGAGACGCATTGCTGCACCCGCAAAATTAGAAATCCATTCTAAGTTAGGCGCAGCCTCGCGTCAATGTGTCCGTCATACGCAGTAGTGTAAATATTACTCTAGGTTAAAATGGAAAAAGTGCGTATGCTGCGCATACACCGCTTACACACAAATCCCGTTACACAGAAGTCAGAAAAGTTTTCTTTCAACTTTAAATATAGGTAACTGTCATGTTATACCAGCGCTTACATGATGCTCTTTATGATGTTGTTGGAGTATACACATGGCACATGAGACACGCTGAGTGGGAAAAAGGGTGTACACTTTCAAGTACAACAGTAAGGTTTTTTGACTCTGACAGTACATTTTACAGTCTGCAAAAATAATAATAATATGTTTCAAGTTCTGATTATGAATATTGGATTGAAAAAAAAAATCATTATTATAGCCATTATTATAGTACAACAACAAAAAAGTACAGAAACATAAATCACAAGCTAACTCGATTACTCTCTGATTTATGTCACTGACGGACGCAGAGATTAACCATCCCCAGCGGTTGCCCAAGTAGCTTCGCTGAGTTGATGAGAAGCTGTTGGAGAACTGATCCAAGGGTAACTTCAACATGTTTACATCTCAGAGCCACATTGTAACAGACAAGACCCACTGATGCATATTCATCTTCGCCTACAGGAGCGGCCTATGTTCAAGAACATTCTCAGTACACTGGAGTCCATGTCCCGCGACAGCCAACTTCCCCAACAGTGCAACTCTTTTCTGCACAACAAGGCTGAATGGCGGTAACGTATTTCAATGTATTTTCGACAGCCATTTACCGCTGTAGCCTAAGGAAATTGGTGTCGAAGAATGCCGTGGAAATGCAGCTAATGGAAGCTCGAAAAGACAGAAAGGAGATTGAAGATTGTGCATATAGATCTTTAATAATTACACTGATAGCTCCATAAAGGCATGAAAAACCTCCAAAGAATTCTCCATCTGGATATACTTCCTCTCTTTACCCATAAGGCCCTAAAATAATCACCATCTTTTTCAAGTCGAAGTGTTTAATTGGGCTGTAGAGCAGCTGGAGGTTTGCTGGTGGAGTCTCAGCTGTGACTGTATTCTCTGTCTGCCTCTCTCTGAGCCTTGTTTGTGCGCCCAGGCTTTTCCCTCACAACTTTGATGCTAACTGGCAGCGTGTCCAGGCAGCAGCCGTGTGCAGGTGGATCAGGGATGCAGAGGAAATCAAGGCACAAAAGTGAAGTGTGTGAGCAGGAGAGCTTTTGTTTTGTGTCTGAGAAGTTAAGGAGGAAAGTCAGAGAGCTGTTTAGGAATGTGGAATAGTACATTTTTCTCTGAGGTGATGCATGAAGGTAAATGGAAGACATGTTCTAGAGCTTACAATGATTTAGTCTATCATTATAGACACTAGTACCTGGTGTTAACCTCTTTGATCTCCAGGATTTGTGATATTGTGGATATATATTTCTAGGTTTCAACAAAATGAGAAAAAGAAGTATAGATTTGTTGAAATGCTTCTGGTATTTTTGAGATTGTGAAGCTTCGACTTTAGGATCAAACATCTTACAATTGGTTAAAAGTTTCACTGATTATTCTTGGGAAGTTGAGCCTTATAGCTGAAATAGTTTGACATGGAAACACAGACGGAGAGACAAAAGTGTTGAGGCTGGACCTTCCTGCCTTTGCTGTGTGTTTGTGTCTTGGTTTGTTGTGTTCAGGATCAGTGTGGATTTCCCAGACCCAGTGTGCGGCCTCAGCATGAGGCAAACATATAAGAGAACTCTGTTCTTGGCCTTGAACGCATCACCCTCTGTTGTTGGGCGCCACAAAGCTGTGACTGTTGGGTGCTAAAAACAATTCTCTCTTTAACTAAGTTGACAAAAAACATTTACACATGAATGTAGAATGATGGTTGAAGTAAATCTCCATCAAATAGATAGATAAAATCTCCAACTCACCTTCGTATAAGTGCTTCCACAGTGAGCGGGTCTTGTGGATCAGTAATGTCCAAACACTGTTTTACTAGTGTCATGTTGAAAGACTCAGTTTTAACTGACCGTGTAAAAAAATAATAACATTTAGGCAGTGTTGCTCTACCAAATGTATGTCATATTGGCCAAAATGTTTGAAGCTGTCACTCTGTTTGCACATTGTAGGTGTGAGATAGAAGCTACTCTTGAGAGACTGAAGAGGCTGGAGAGAGACCTGAGCACCAAAGAGCAGGAGCTGAAGGAGAGAGAGCAGAGGCTGAAGATGTGGGAGAAAAAACTTCTGGAGCAGTCCAACAGTCCGGTACATAAAACACGCATCTCTATGATATACAGCACATACAGGTCACTTCACTCAGTGGTTTGTGCATAAGTGATAGAAATCCTTAACCACAAAACACAGCATCATTTTGAATGAGAAAAAAGGCAATTTAAATTGAATTTTTTTTCTCCATTTGACCATATTGTAAAAGGACAATATAAATTGAGTTCTGAATGAAATTTGTCACAACAGGAGGTTATTAGGAGTGACTTTTACTGACCCACAGACGCCAATATTTGGTTATTTTAAAATTGTTTTATAACTGCCTGACATAATGTGAAGTGTAAAATGAAAGGAGAAATGTGTTATTTAAAACTAGTCTCTGATTTTAGTATTTGATTTTTGTGTCAAAATGTGCATACTTCAAAGGAAGGATTGGCTGGTGCGGGGTTAATCCACTTTTGTGGTGAAAGCTGTTCTCCAGCTGTGGGAGCAGTCCTCTCTTTGTGGAGGAGCAGCAGCTCTACTCAGAGCTCTTCCTGTGCAGCAAAGCTACTCTCCCTATCTCTAGCATTCATGCAAACTGCTTTCACAGTTCAAATCCAGTGCCATAGCTTTAAAGCTAGTATTTGTTCCCTGGGGTGACTGTGAGGACGTGTGAGCACTGAGGTCATAGTGTGAGGAAAATCGACTCTGCTTTTGTTATTTACTTAAATGTCTCTCTTGATTATTTTCCACAGTAAAGTATTTGTAACTTTTGTTCAAATTTACTTTGTGATGCAAAGAAAAAGCAGTTTCTATTGAAAAGACATTATGAATGTCATTTGCTCTACTGTAGGCCTAATGTGCTGGATGTATAGCGGCATGCTGGGAAGAAACAGCCTGTGAGCCAGTTGCTTAGAGAAGGCCAGGCCTTTTATGATGAAGTGACATTTTGCTGACATTAAGATTGGCCAATTTGTTCTGGATGTGGTGGAGTGCAGTTGTTGAGATGCAGTCTCTTACCAGGATAAGAAAGTACTTGTTTTTCCCTGACTGACCCGCTGCCGAACAGCAGGAGAGGGGCTTTTTGGAGCCACAACCAACTTCATTTTAATTCCACTTTTTTCACATTATTCTTTAACTTAGTGAATGTAATATTCACTGTAGTGAAGTATTTGAAAGTAATAACAAGCTATGTCTAATGGTGTTTAATTATAATATCGTGATTTTTTTTGTCCCTGTGGCAAGATCTCCATTAGGGAGGAGCATTGTGCATATGGGGGCAGACATGCTTCCTAAAGCAGAGCCCATTACATGTCCCTGATGTCAACATCAGAGGGTCTCACCAGGAGCTAATCCCAACGTTTACCATGACACCACTTTACTGATTACTTTGAGCGAAGTTCTGTTCAGGCTCTGCTGATGTTGTAGTATAATTCTTCTTCTTACAGTAAGGATACCTCTCTTTACATTGGTATGCCTTAAGGTAGAACCTAGGTCATAGAGATCTCCCAAAGAACAGAAGGAATAATAGAAGAAGCAGAAAATAACTATGATCTTGTTTCTTAACTGAAGTATAAAACTATAGTTTTATAAGTTTTATAAAGTCTATAAGTACCCTTTAAAATAGGACTATCATATGTGAAAATGTCATTTTCAAAAACGGAACACTCAGAAGACATATGGTGTTCCTGCTTCAGCCAAATGTACGTCATCATTCATAATTGTGTTATATTGTATCTTACAGCTTTATTGTTTTAAGGCCCTACATCCTCACATCAGACTGAGAGTTCCAGTCCACTGTGACCCTCCCTTTTCTCTAAAAATACTGTTTCTGATAATAACTTTGAGACCGCAAACTTCATGAGCCGTGTCTACAGTGTGACTTTCGGTTGTGTTTCATAAAAGTGAAGCATGTAGATTGCGTCCGATGGCGGTTTGGCAGCAGAGGCGCGTGTCGCAGTGTGTTTACTTCCTTGGTGCGGCGCTGGAGGAGGCGGAAAGCGTCTCCGAGCTGAGTGTCTTTGTGAGGCTGAGCGGGCTGCACCCACATGTATGGCAGCGACTTTTCTATTGAGAGCGCTATTCACGCCGTAATCTAGGCTGTTATCAGATGTTGTGGCAAGAAGACATTGAATGAAGATTACTCATTCATTTAGTCATCTTTTCCTCCAATTTTCCATTGCATTATTTCTTTCATTATGCACCAGCCACACTATCACAATGATGAAATCTTTATTTTGGCTGGCAAGTTTCTGCCTGATTACATTTAATGAGCGGCAAATGATTTATCATTCAAATAGATTGCATTAGATCAGTCAGATGGACATGTCTGTTTGAAATAGACCATTAGAGCCACAGCATCTTTACTGCACGCCACACTAACTGCACTGACTTTGGATGCAGGAGAAAATGGCTATTTTCCATTTTAATCATGTTTCCGCAACTTGTATGAGTTAGGTTTTAGTTTTACCATTGTACGTCATGTTTTAACTCCATCTTCAGCTTTTCAGTGCAGAGTTTTACATAATTCTTTGACCTTATCCTGAGTAGAACTGTAGTTGGATTGTTCTACACACTGTTGAACTGAATGAATCTCTTTTTCAGTTGTTGCCAACCCTCGATATCTACACCTGGACAGAGGAGCATGTGGTCAGTTCTGGTTCATCTTTATATTAAACACTATCAGAACACATTATTCATGTGCTCCTTACTCTGGCTTCAGTCTCCAACCGTGTGCCCTTTACTACTAGTCTATGTTAATTATCACCTATTCTTCTTTTTCAGTATTTCTGGATGCAGCAATTATTTGGTGAAGGTTTGTGGATTCCTATGGAAATGGAAGATTCCACAATCATTTGGCTGATGTTCTGTATTTAATGATGTAATCATTATTTAGGTGAGAGCGCCTGCAGCGGCATGCAGGGCTATGCTGACCTATTCAAAGAGAACCACATCACTGGGCAGAGGCTGCTGCTGCTGACAGAGAGCGACATGAGGGACATGGGGGTCAAGTCTAAAGGCCATGTGATCCACCTCAAGGCAAGCCCTGGTTAAACATTAAACTGCAGATTAAAACAGCATTCTGTGTGTGCCATCTCATTTACAGGAGCAATTGCTCATTACTTTACAGCCAATATTACCTTCATTTCATTCGCAGGGTGAAATTGAAAAGCTGGCTAATGATTACCTCGGCCTCGTCCACTTCCCGCCACTGTTCAAGGTAGATTTCACTGTGTTAATCTTCTATTTTATGCACATCTGTGTTTGGATGTTGCATCTTTTTTTTTTTTTTTTTTTTTACAATTTCTTCAAAGGAAATGTTTCTGAAAACTAAAAATAAATAAAATGCATCACACATTTGAAATGAATCTCCATCTCAATGGTTATCTCAGTGTTATTTCTGCTCTGAATGCACACTAGCAAACATCCGTTAGTTGTAAATCCGTTATATACTTCTTTACTTATGCATATTATTATTTGTTAAAGGAGGAGCTGGAGAAACAAGTGGAGCTGAGTAAATCAATCAAACTGGAGCTAGTGTTTGGATACCACTGGAAACCTGGAACCGGCAGCTCTGTATGTCAAAACCCATACCTACACAATGATTTAAATATTTGTGTCTTGTGATAAAATTGGGTTCCGGCTGATGCCCTGGTGCTGCTGTAGAAGAGCAGAATGAATAGGCGATGGCTGTTTCAGTGACCATTGCAGGCTTGAGTAGACATGTGTAAAAGCAGACAAATAAACATTTCATTCTGAGCCATGTACAACATCCACCTCAGCGCACTCACAGCCCTTTGTTAGGGTCTCAAACTGTGGAGAAAGGGTGGCTCTTCACTGGCTGTTTGAATTTAATCAAAAATAGCCCATTTAGCCAGAAGTCATTTTCTTTTTAAAAGGCAAACGTTATTTAATCTTTCAGCTGTTCATTGTCCCATCATAAATAGTCCTCTTTCAGTGTGTTCGGCAGGGCTGAAACGAGCCTGCTAATTGCCTCCCATTTCTTCTGACATGTGGTGGTTTAGTGGGTAGAAAACACAGCAGGGAGAAGGAAACAGGAGGCTGAGAAAATGAGAGCTAATTATTTTCCCCTGCCTGGTGTCAGGTTCCGTGTCAGCCTTGTTTTTACAAACTGGAAGGTTTTTTGCACTAAATAAAACAAACCCGCACTGCATTTTTTCTTCGACCCTCTTTGCTGGCGATGTCATGGAAGCAGCTGCACTTCTCAAAGACAAAATGAGGGTCTGCAATTGTGCGGCCACCATCTGACAGCCACTGAGGGTCCCCTACTAATGAGGATATCACCGTGCAGCCAAGTGAAAGGTGCTGAATTATGTATGAGTTGTCATTAGATGCACTTGGGTCCTAGGCATCATTACCAGATATTGTTTCTGTTGGAGTGATTAGAGGAGCGCAGACCTGGGAACCCGGTGTGAGCGTCCAGGGCCAACACGGGGCCAGTGGAGGCCAGAGCGGAGCCCGACTGTGTTTCTGAGCCAGAGATTTGCTGAAGCTTCCCTTTTGAGCTTCCTCCAGTCCCCAGGGAGCACAAGGAGAGCACCAAAGCTCCTCAGATGAGTGTACTGGTGCCACTCCTGTGATGTCTTCTTTGTGATCAGCACACAATGGATTGGCCTGTGCCATGAACCTTGTGTGGTTAAGCACTGACCTGTGGCTGCTTCGCTGCCTGTGGGGATTGGCACCATCATTACTGCTTCGTCAGCATTCAGTCTGCTGCAGAAGAGGCCAACATGCAGGCTCATAATGACAAAAAATATATAAATAGCTGTGCTGCTGATCACAGAAAATAGAAAAAGATGGTGGAAAATACAAAGACAAAACAGAGCATATTATTAGCTTTGTATCTTATCCTTAATTTATTGTAATTCATTTTATATCTTTATGTAATTAATCTTACCATACACAACTATCCTGTTGTTTTGGTCTCTGGTCAGTGACTTTTGTTCACCTCTAGGTTGTGCTGTTGGTTTAGCTAAAAAGCTGCTCCTGGTCTTTTAAACTTTTCACACACTCTGCTGTAGAGTAACTCTAATCATTTCATTAAGGACTGCAAATGGAAAATATACATGGAGCTTGACGGCGACGATGTTGCAGTGACTTACATTAAAGATGTGGTGTTCAATGCTAATCGACCGGACGTGGAAATCCTGCGAATGACCAAGGTACTATTGCAATGCATTGGTAATAACAAAAGCTGTTTATTTTATTCTTTCTTATTTTACAATGTTTTAGATTATGTCTTTGCTATGTTGAATTCTATAACAGTGTGACTTTTGCCTGTGTTTAAATGTAGCCACCTTTTGTTATGGATAAATGGATAGTTGGAATAAAGCCAAACCAAAGCGTGGACTATATAGTAACTTTTGAGGTCAGTAACTTTAAAGTAAAGTAAAATTGTTGATTTTTACATATGTCAAACTTCTAGCCTAATACAACCTTGTTTCTAACAGAACGATGTCAAGTCCCCAAAATTGACCAAGCACAGCTGTGCAGTGAGCTGGAGTCTGAGTGGTGGGCAGGACGTGATCAAGGCAGTGGAGCTGCTCATTGAAACAGCACCAGTGAATTCAGCCTTAAAAGTCAGGAGTGGAACTCACACCGGTAAGAGATTCTCTTATTATGAACTTTCATGACACATGAAATATAAAGTGAGATGTCAAGTAAATACATTTGAAATAAATGTGCACTTAGTTAAATGGCACTTACTTCATTCATGAGTGTATTGTACCCCTGCACATGCAGGCACATGCAGGCACATGCAAGCTGTAAACACTTGAGACGTTATCCTGGACACTTTAATGCATGCGGTTTACTACGTCTGTTCAATCATTTTATTGACACATTTCTTATAATGTGCATTTCAGACATTGACCCAATGTGGATGTACCATGTGCGGAGCAGGCAGATGATGGAGAAAAAGTCACAACCTCCAAAATCGGCTCTTAAATCTTTAACCAGTTCTGAAGCACGCACCCTGCCTCAGTTCCTGTCTGCCCATGAGAACCAGGGCTTCTCTTACGCTGCAGCTGTGCGCCGCTCTCCCAACCGTGCCACTGCATCTCCCTGGACAGACCCCCGCAGCACTTCTCCCACTACAAACCTCATGTCTAAACTGTCCCAACTTCATCTGGGGTCTAAGGGCAGTAGTCCATCCAGCACCACGTCAGAGAGTGCTTCAGAGAGGGACAGAGAGAGGCCACTTAGTGCTGGGATGTTCAACAAACAGCGCGGCTACTTCGCAAACACTTTAACTGTGGGAGGAGAGCAGGCCAGGGGGCAGCCATGGGCTCATAGTCGTGGAAACTATAGTCATAATAAAACCAACAAAAGCTCTCGCCACCAAGGAAGGCCACGCTCCAACAGTTACAGTGTCACTTCAGCAATACGCCCACCCACCATTCCAGGTATATTGTCTGTGACTGGAAATCCCAGTCAGGAAAAAGAGGCGACTAAAGCTAGCGAGGGCGGCTGGATCAAAGTGGAGCGCCAGAAGCGATTACAACGTCCGGACAATAAACAAGTCAGAGGTCGAGGGAGGAGAGGGGGCCGTGGAGGGCGGGGAGCAGCAACAAGGACTTAATATGGCCTCTGTGCTCACACTATCATGCACTGAAGCTTTGTTTATATATTCACTAAATAGCTTTATGTTGGAACTATGCATGCAGAAATGTCTATTGTTGTATGATGTATTTTTTAAACACCAACATATATATATATATATATATATTTAATATGTATTTATTAAAATATTGAAACCTTTTAGTTGTGTGTATGTGTTAATGTCCATTATAAAAGATATAAACATTGTAAATTGCTTTTTTGTCATATATGTGCATACAGAGCAAACACCTATCTCAATTGATTGGAGTGTCTAAATATGTTCAGTCATACTTATGATCAACTAGTTCTCTTGTCCAACAAGGTTCATCTGGTACGTGGTAAATTCTAATAAAATGACCCCTCATACCCCATGTACAATGAAAAGTGTCATGAAATAATTGTGAAGCACAGTGGTCACATTATTTCCATTATATGTGTGTGTGTGCGCGCACGTGTGGATACGTGTGTGACCTACATCCACCTCCCGCCTCCATACTTTACCCGCCGAGTATGCAAATGAACCAAGATTGTTCGCGCGGTTTGCAAAGGTCCTGGAAGATCTATCACTACAGTAATGTCTGTGAATTAGACATTAGCTTTGAAAATACGCCATTTTGGTGAAAAGTCGAGATATGATGTCCATCAGACATTTCATTTCTTGTATAAGGAAATTGTGAGCACTTTTAGTTGTCTCATAGCTCTAAAGTAAAGTGTTCTTCTAGGACCTGTCAGTGGCGCGGGAAATGAAATGAGTGAGGAGGCGCGCGGAGCTTTGTTCACTTCACTCGTGTTCTGCTCACGCGCTGAATCAGAGACAACATGCCGACCACCCGCTCCATGGTAAGAACTGCACTCTTTTCCAACTAATACCAAAGCAACATTACACAGCGATGCACTGATATACCAAGTGTACAGTTTATTGTAACTGCAACTGACTTAATAGAAAATCCATGGCTTAATGGCACTGCTAAATGTACGTACGAAACTAGCAGAAACATGGTGTAAATGAGACTTTGGACGTCTATAAACACAATGAGACCCTTATTCTAAAAGATCCGTGTTACAAACAAGTTTATGATACTGGGCTTTGCCAATGCATAAAGTTATGTACAAGTTATGTACATAACTTTATGTACAATTTTACTTATTTACGACCCTTTAGCCTGCTTTATTACCAACGGAAAAGGTGCACACATCCACGGTACAAACGAATTACAGTAGATTCTGAATGTTATGGTAAACATTGTGTGATCTCATGATGAGTGAGTGTGAATAAGCAAACAGAGATGCATTAAAGGGCGTAAAGTTTGAGACAATGCATAAACCCGTGTTGTATACAACTATACTAGTTGTAGAGTTACTGGATACATGCATTCAAATTTACTTTTGTTACTTGTTTCGTTGCTTACTGTATTCTTAAAACTTTCACTCATTTGCATACAATTCTTTGTATGTATTTAGTTACTCGCCAACTTTTTATCATGTTTTACCTCTGCTCTGTTGTGCAGAGAGTAGCTGTGCTGCCAGCCTCACCCAGAAGAAGTCTGAGGAGCTTCCGCAATGTCCCTTTGGTTTCCATGGAAACCTCCTCCTCAGATGACAGCTGTGACAGCTTTGGCTCTGATGGAGGCTTTGCGAACACTGTAAGTACAATACTATAATGTAGAGGTCTGGTCTTGTGTGCAGCCTTTTTAGCTGTGATATATGTTAGCAGCGCAGTGTGAGGTCAAAGAGGCCAGCAGAGAAACCAAAGCCTCTGGCGAGGGCATCAGATGAGGACACCAACAGTGGCTTTGAGGACCATGTGATCAGCAGCCGCATGAAGGCCATGGTAAGTATCAAGGACAACGAAGAACAATTAATGCTTTATCACAACTTTTTTAACAGTGATGTTTACGCTGTCCCAGAAAGTGGATTCTCCCAAACGTGGGCGCAGATCCAGTGGTCTGAAGGTGGCCTTGTCATTTCCATCTCGAAAAACCACCGCACAGAAGAGACCAGCCTCTGAACCACTGCCTCAGCCGAAAGGATCAGCCATGGACTCTGATGAGGACGACTTTATCAAAAAGAGAGCACTGAATATTAAAGAAAACAAGGCGATGGTGCGTTTGTGACTTAAATTTTTTTTTTTGAGGTTGTACAACCCCTTAAAGTTTTAGTTTAAATATGTTCCTTGATCCACAGCTTGCAAAACTGATGTCAGAATTGAGCAAAGTGCCTGGCCTTTTCCCTGGGAGCTTGGCAAAATCACCTTTCGCTGTAAGTTGTTCAGTACATTCATGATGTCTTGGCATCTGATTTGGCATTATTAAGTGCTTAGTCTTAATCTGTCTTTGAACTTTTCCAGCCAAGAAAGCACACCCAAAAAGCACCAACTCCAAGAGTTCTTCGGAAGAACCCAGAGCGCACAACTCGTCCTCACACTCGCTCCCGCTCTCTGGTGGATGGGCCCCCCAGCCCCACCCCAGAGGAGGAGGAGGATCCAGAGGACAAGTTTAGCCTGGTACGCAAGAGCCGCTTCTACGAGGAAGTGGATGAGCCGGTAAGTTCCTTCCATATTAAAAGATCCTTTATTTGTCCCACAATGGGGAAATTTCAGTGTTGCATTACCAGTTACAGAACAGTAGGAATGAGCACACAGCACAGTATAAGATAATTGAAGACATCTCTATACTTAACTCTCTACTAAATATAATATAAATAACATAAAATAAAATCTCTATCTTTAGCATAACAAGGAAGCAGTCTATAATCTATAACAATTAAGTATAGAATCTGTGATTTAAGCATAACAAGAGGCAAGTATGACTCCTGTATATTCTAGGGCAGAAATATTTAGCAGTGTGTTTATGTACATCTGTACATGTTAGCAGCATGAGGGTCTGGGACACAGTGACTGTAACACCTGTGGTTCTATCGTTCACATTCTGACTTTATGAAAGGTGTTATTATTGCACAGATGAGTGACAACAGCTCACAGCTTTGAATCGTGGACAAGTGAAATAAAGAGTTTTTTGCACACAGCCTCGTCGTCGCACCTACAGCGGCATGAAGGCCATCCCTCATGTGGTGAGACCTGTGGACGACATCACCGAGCTGGAGCTGGACCGCATCTGTAATAATGTCCGGGAGAAGGTCTACAGCCAATCCACAGTGCGTGCAGATATTCAGACAGTGTTGTGCGTGCGTGTGTGTTTAAACCGATAATAAATAATCCTTGTTCTCCAGGGATCGACCTGCCATCAATGCCGGCAGAAGACGACCGACACCAAAACTTGTTGCCGTAACCCTGAGTGTGTTGGAGTGAGAGGGCAGTTTTGTGGACCGTGTCTTCGTAACCGCTACGGAGAGGAAGTGAGGGACGCCCTGCTGAACGAGGTCAGTGTCTGAGCGCTCAGTGGGTCTGAAGAAACTCTTTGGTCTTTAAGTTGACTGTGTCGTGTGTTCTTTCAGGACTGGCAGTGCCCGCCATGCAGAGGGATCTGTAACTGCAGCTTCTGTAGAGCGCGAGAGGGCCGCTGTGCCACTGGAGTCTTGGTTTATCTGGCCAAATATCATGGCTTTGACAATGTGCACTCCTATCTCAAAAGGTTTGTAGATAAGGTTTCTCTCGTCTTTATTTTCATTAACAAATTCAAGTTAATTTGAAGAATGATTTTTCTGTGCAGCTTGAAGAAGGAGCTGGAGGAGAGTGGAGAGTGAGGAGCAGGATTCACATGTTTGCTGTTGCACCTTCACCATATTACATACATACATTTAATACGTAATACTGTTTTAGACATAGGGTTGAGGCCCAATACCAAAACATTTCACTTTATGAATTAATACTGCTTTAAAAAATACATACATTACTCAGCAGCGTTTGAACTCAACTTTTTGTATGTAGTTTGTACATATTTCCGCCCCATTCCTGGTATAGGGAGAAATGTTCTCTGTTTACTTGTCCCAAAGTATTTACATTGTTTTAAATGTAATTTTTTATTATACAGCCCCTTTTTATATGAACTAAGCTGTAAGATTTCACTTGGTGCCTTTAAAGTGTTTGTTATTGGATGTTTTGGTGACCTGCTGTAATGGCTGAAGAGTCCTGGGACTATTCAATAGAACTGTTTTTTTTTTCCCCTTTTTATGCCACAGTTCCAATTGGTACCAAGAGGAATAGTGTGATATAGTGGAGCGGCTGCTTAAATCCCCTTCATTAGATAACCATCGCTAATGGAGTGGAAACAATTAGCACACTCTAATGGGAGCTCATACCTGTAAATCACTGGATCCTGTTAAAAGCACATTGCTGCTCTGCTCTTGTCTCTGCCTCATTTTCTTCTCTCTACTGTTAAATAGCACTGCTTCAGTGCCAGCAGGAATTATGGGCTTCATTTTCTCCTCACAAGTGTGAAACTCCTGGAAATGACCTGACATTATACTTGAGCCCTTCACATGTTTTTGATTTGACCTGTCGAAGATGTTGTCAGTTTTCATGATCATTGTATGAGATCACATTGTATCAGATGTTCAACTGAGTTGTTTGATTCATTTTCAATAAAGTTCTACACGTAGAATGTCTTTCAATTTGATTATACAATAATTAAACCATTATTCCTAAACACTGTTAAACGGCAGAAGAGTTTTTCAGTGATGAGGTTGTGTCCAAAGTTTAAAAGTGAAAATGGCATTTTCACATGAGAGGGTTTACCAAGTCTACATCAAATCAGTCTGTTCCATTAGGCAGCTGTAGATTGACTGATAAAACAAGTTATATTATTGACATAATTAAAATAAGAACATTTTAGTGGTCTCTTGTTTACTTGTACCTATAGCTGCTTCCTGCTGGTTACAGAGAAGCCTGTATACAGATATTGATGAAACAATACACACAGCATTGACAAAGTAATATAATAAATAGATACTAATTACTTTCTGAGGAAAGATTATTTCAAAATCTATCAAACTGTAAAACTGAATTCCCTCTTCCTCAAATGTGAAATGTTTGACAAACTATTATTAGGATAATAAAGATGCACTTGAGAATACTAGTTCTGTATTAAACACCAATGATCATCCACTTTGGGATGATGAATATTTAGGGAAGTAATTGTTTACAACGCTCAAGCATTGAGCTGATCTGGTAATCAGGCTATGAAATACAATATTTATTCATTAGAGCAGATTTAATGAGGCCTTGCAGCGCTAATTATGAAAACCAGTGTAGCAGTAAATGAGTAGAGCTGGGCGGCGGGCTGTGGGGTACCTGTCGGGAGGGACGTTCAAGTGCCCTCGGAGCGGTTCACGGACTCAGGACATAGATCACACACACACACACACACACACACGCGCACGCATACACGCACACAAAAGGGGACAGGACACAGATGGGCACTGCTCCAACACTCTGCGGTGGTCCCCAGTTCTACAGTGATATTGTTCACTGCTACATAGTAAAAAAGGAATGCAAAGGGTCTGCCATTTTAAACAACATTTATGGACATTTGTCAACACTTAGGTATTAGTCCATAAGGGGCAGATGACCAATATCCATATGTGTTTTCTGTTGAATTGATTGTGTTTGAACTGTTTGATTCTCTGATCTGTGTTGGCGATTTCATCAGTTTTGTAAAGTCCTCAGAGGTAATGTAATGTTTCTTTATATAGCGCATTTTACAGACCAAGGTCACCCAAAGCACTTTACTATGTTCAGAGTTCAGATATTGTTCCAATCATTCCACACACGGTGATGACAGAAGCGAGTCGCCAAACACACTGGTGCATCAGCCCCAAACAACCCCATTTTTCACTCTCTTATTTACATTCATACCTATTGTGCATGTTTTTAGTGGTAGGGGAAACCGGAGCACCCGGAGGAAACCTACGCAGAAACGGGGAGAACATGCAAACTCCACTCAGAAAGACCCTGTTCCGACCGGGATTCGAACCCAGGACCTTCTTGCTGAGAAGTGAGAGTTCTATCAACTCAGCCACCGTGTCGCCCACAGGTAGCTACCGTTGTGATTTGGGGCTATACAAGAACACATTGAATTGAATTGAATTGAATACAAACCAATTAGAAGACTCGAGCAATTACATTTTATTCTATTATTACATATTTAGTCCTAGCATGATCTCTAATGGTGGAACCTAATTCAATGTCACCTGCCAACATGCCACAAAAGCAACAAAAAAACATTGACAATCTGAACACCCTGTCTTTTGCGTACAGACTATCTTGTCTTACTCCTCAATGTAACGCAGTATATAAGGTCACGACATCATGTGAATTTGATGAGGGACATGTAGACGCACACATGTCACTCACATCCACTGTAGTGTGAACGGAGGAGGGCTCTGCTCACTTACAGCGGGCGTATGTAAAATCATATGTTTAATTTATAAGCCCGCCTATACACCATTCACTTTAAATGTGGACCAGCCTATTCTGCACTTTGTATTTGTATGCTGGACTGGAGAGATGTGGCAGGATTTCTCAGCATAATATGGCTTTTGATTGACTGATATTTTCATTTATGGCGGCAGGGTAGCGTGAAGACTGTTAATTTGTCGGAGAGTCCTGCAGGTCGACTGTGATTGTATTGGAGCCAGAAGAAAGAGCTCCATAAATGAAAAGTCGCAGGGCACAATCACAATCTGTGACTCCGAATCAACGGATTAATTATAATTTAGCGGCAGCCTGTCAGGTCACAGTCATAAACACTCTTTAGAATCAGTGTTTAACCGGCGTTCTACGTAGGACACCTGGAGACACGAGCCACCAGCCTGACCGTGCGCGTGTGAGTGAGTGAGTGAAGGCATTTTGGGCACCGAAACCGTTGGCTGATTTTTTAGAATGAATTTTATGTGAATGGAATGTGATATTTGTGTGTGAGTTCAGAAACTTCTATTATGTTCTTCGGCTGCCGGTCTTTAGTCGTTAATTCATCAGTAAATAATTTTTTTACTTTTGTATTAGACGGCCTATTATTTGATATGGAATTAAAAGCTTTTCAATGGGAAAACTGCTTTTCTACTTTATTTAATTTTCTACATGGTTTCTAATCTTTTTTTTTTAAGAATTAGGTATTTACTTTGATATTCCAGCCAGATCAAACTCAATGGCTTTCCTCTTTAACCCTGTAGCACCCTTGGTTACAAATGTGACCAAGGGTGCTACAAAGACAAAAGAAGTATGTCTTTTTGGTTTAATGCATTAGAGAATACATTTACCCAAGAAGCAAAAATGCCACATTGCCAAATTCGGTCATTGAATGATAATTTTTTTCAACAAATATTTTCATGTCTGGGCCCTACAGGGTAAACAGTATTTTTGTGTGATTTTATGCCTAAAAAGTTGTAGTTCCCAGAGCCTTTGCCATCCACTGGGGATATCGTTTGTCATCCAAGAATTGATTTTGGTCGATCACAGCCCGTTTACGTTCTATTGTCTTTTTATTTTTAACAAACGTTTTATTGAAATAACTCAGAATGCAGAATCAATGACAAAAAGTTCCATTGTGGTGTCTTTTTAAACAACAAAAATACCCGAGTCTATTTTGCTGTCAGAAGTTTCCCTCTGGGAGAATGCAGGAGCGGTTGCTTGAGTCTCAGAGTGCTGTTTCTAAATGCACATGGTGAGTGACTATGGGTGGCAGCAGCCTTATGACACGTTCCTCTCGCCGGCGCCTCTGGACTGATGGAAACAGTGCTTTGGTGCAGGTGTCAGGGACATTATCACAGAAAAGGGGCTGCCTGCAGTTGCTCCATCTCACAGGAAATTGCCAACTCACCCTAACAAAGGAAGCCATAAGTGCACTCGCGCTGCCTTGGACTGGAGCGTGATAAGATGACATTATAAATAGTGAATTGTTCCCTGAAGCTGGAGGGGCAGGCGCATCGGGGGACTCTGACAATTCCACTTCCCCAAGTGCGACTCAAAAGCAAGTGCAGTTTATATCAAAACAAAATAAACTGCTTATCATTTTGGATACTTTTGTGAACGTGTTAAGCCGAACACTACATAGGCAAAGTACACTGGGGAGTGGTCTTATACAATAGGATTTATATATGATATAATAATTACATTTTAAATAAAGGGAATCTGATGAGACTAAAGATGGTCAATATTGCAAAAAAAAACAGATATGAAATACAATAAAAATACCTTGTTTTGAATATGTACATTCATCTTAATATTGTTATAATTATTTAAAAACATAACTGCTATACATCCTATAAGTAAGCATCTTTGAAACATACATACTGTTAAAATATCAGTTATTTCTGTTGTTAGTTTTATGTTTAACCTTTCAACTCAACGACACCTTTAGAAGCACAATATTCATCTCAAATAAAAACTATATTGAGAAATTCATGTTTGTCAATATTACCCACCCTAGATTGGAAATGCACATGTGGCCGGTGCTGTTTTCCGGGATTCAAGATAGAATGACCCACAATTAGTTAATATTATAGCTATTACAATCGAAATGAAATCGTTTAATTAAATTCCTTATTATAGTGTTTGTGTTGACAGACTATAATATTATAGGAGTTGTACATGTGTGCGATGTGTCACTTACTTCTGAATGGTACCTGAAGGGGGAGCTCTAAGACAGGCGGCTCACTGTACTTGTTCATTTTGCTTGAAACTTTCCTGTCCTGAGGAGACACAATAAGAAAAGTGAAAGGGTTATTAGAGCTTCACCTTAAAAGTA